AATCCAAGACAATTCTAGACCAGTCACAAAATTCATACAGAGGCGAATTTCCAACCAGTCACAGCGATAGATCATCGCGAATCAGGTTATCGTTGAGTCTTACCGTAAAACCCTTGCTAGACTGGTAGAAAATGCCGGTTTACCGCCTTCTTTTCATGGGGCTCTTATCACTCTTTTTATAGCTAGTGACGACAACCTCGTCTTTCGACAGTCGATAATACCGTTCTAGGGAACTCGGTCTGAAGTAAGCTACTGCATAGTCTCGTTACACCGACTTTTTCTATAACCTTCTTACTCAATGCGATCCGGAGCACCAAGTCCAAAGACCGAAACGGACGCGATGCCTGAGCAAAACGGGAACGAGCCCCGCCGCCTCTTCGCTCACCGTCAGAATGATACACCCACCAACAGGTGTGTGACAGTCTGCCTAAGTTCTGCCAGTGTGTGTGTTCAGTTTCACAGTGCCTCCGTTCGTGTGGCAGAATCACGCACTGTGATTGCTGACATGCAGATACATAGTATTAGGTATTGTCATATTGGAGCCGCCTAAGAGAGAGAAAATCCCTTCCCACAGTACGTCCGAACTACCTGTTTTCGCTGCCGAGCAAGGTCGTGCGGGTCCAAGCTCTCCGTGACGTGGAAAACTAGGTAGGTAGGGAGTTGAATTACAGCGTAGGGTAAGGAGATATTAGATAAACAAGTAACAAGCAACAAGCAACAGGCTACAAGAAAGCACTGCCTGTCTCTATCAAACGGCATATACCTACACAGTAGTCTCATAATAATGTATAGGCTACAGCATTGATTCGCCCCGACATGCGCAAATCACGCGTTGCGCGCGGATGCCGAATGCGGATGTATCCTAAAATTAGACTTGGGGTGCTTTCTCGCCTTTTCACTTGCTCAATCTTGGTCTAGAGCATCGTGTTGTCAGCCAAGCTTCTTCCTCGGCTTTCTCTCGTCTTACGACCGTATTCAAGTAGCGCGTATTAATTATTCTGTATTATGTATGTATGTGTGTAAACCCGGGTCTGAGATAGATCTAAGCACCTTAGCATAAATAACAACAGCTAGCTGTCACAAGCCACAGTGATCATCCGTCATGCTGGTGCCGATCTGGGGGAAGTGACGAGACTTGCGAGGAGTGGTGAGAGCGACTTTCGACTTTCGATGTAAGGGCCGTCACCTTGTGTACCGAGCTTCAAATTAAGCGCACCTAAAAGCTCGAGGAATGTAAGAGCTAGCCGCCGATGAGGGTTGTTATTATTATTACCGGATCTCGGATTTCGAATAATCAAAGGGAGAGATTGCAATTCTGACAACTTACAAGGACCTGGCAGCCTGGGTTGAGTTTGGTCTGCCGCCGTTGAGTGTCCCACAGACCGGCATCTATCCTTGGTTCCTTGGTAAAGCCGAAAGTTACCATGATCAGCCCAAACCCCGCAGAATCTCACCATCGCCATCTCTAACTAGTAGTAGCTATAGCTACATACGGCTGATATGTAGCATCTGGTATTAGTATTATATGTAGCATACATACATAAATACATACCTAGGTAGGTAATCAAGATTAGGGACTTTTGTTAAAGCTCTTGCGTATGTATAAAGTTGCGCGCGGGTGACCTGGAAGAGAGATAGAAGCATCATACCCCCATACCATACCTCCCTACCCCTGTCAAAACATGATTCTCTACCCGTCATTTTGAGAATGGAAGGACGCTGACACGTCAAGCGGACTTACCTACATACATACACTACGTAACAACAGATCTCGGGAAGAGGGGGGGCTGGAGAAAAACGCACATACATAATTACATCGTCCATACCTCCATACATCTGGAACCCAGCCACCGGTCCGGCAAGTTACCAGAATGCATTTGTCACCGTTTAGGTATCCTTTAGGTATCTTTAGGTCCTTAGGTAGTTGTCGCGCAATGATTCTTTTCTAACACGCATGAAAAACAGCTGTTGATTATGTAGGTCGTATTACCTCGTGCATCGAGATTGTATGAGAAAAGGATATCAGACCTCCACCCCTTGCAATCACAAGATGAGATTATATGAAGCTTACATACTAGACAAGTATGGATGTACATAAAAAAAATGTGATGAAAACAAGTTAATTCGCAAGTTGTATTTGATAATTAAATTAATTGCAACTACGGATGAGTGTTGTGAAATTCGTAAAATTGAATCTACCTAGGTAATTAATTATGTACTAATAAAAGTTATGACAAAAGCAGCGAAAGAAGCGAAACAGCGCCGGCTCAATCACCAGCCCCAGCCGCCACAGAATTTTTCAGCGGAAACAGGGATTACGCTGCAATCACAGTAGTGTCTATCCCTACGCTGGCACAATAGCGGGGCATTTGGCTTGTGTTGACCCACTAGTCGACCCATAGGATATCCACCTCTATCCACATCTATCCACATCGAAGATTTCAACATGGCAGCTGATTAGTCACAAATGCAGCCCCACAGCCCCGTTAAAACGTCGGGACTCTCTGGAACCCCCCCATCAAAGGGCTCGCACTTCCCTCAATTTTTACTCGCCTCTTGCCCATTTCTCTACCAATCAATCCCCTCTCGCCTTCCTTGGTCCACCACTTCTTAAAAAAATCATCGAATCAATTGCCTTTGCTCCCACGCTCTGGTCTTTTTTTCATCCAAACAGCACCCAGTCTGCTAGAAAGTCTCTTTTCTAAAACATCGAATCAAATCAAGCCACTTCTGCCCATTCTGGAGCCCTGGACAGCCCGGACAGCCTGGTTTAATTTTCATTATAACCTTACCAACTTTATACTCATCTTGTCCAACATTTATCCGCTCCGCATTATCTGGGCTGACTGGAACCCCTTCAATTCTTTCTGTCCAGTCAGAATCTTCCGGTCACCTGAAGAGATCCAGAGTCCAGGTACAAGCACAAGGACAAGCACAACGCGACATACGTCAATTCCTGTTGCTGCTGCATTAGGCGCCTACGCCTATCGCATTCTACCATTCTATCCTCATACCCAAGCTCATCGTCGGCGACCACCGCACTAACGGTTGAGTTACGCGCAAAAAGGATACCTTGACTCTTCGTGTGTGCGACCGCGACACTTTTTAACCATCTATATCCTACTCTAGTCTATTCCCCTTGTGTCGCGCGCACACAAAGGCAGTAGTCGCGTATAAGGACTTATTAGTAGGTATACTACTACCTTACAGTTGTTAGTTATTTTTTTTTAAAAAAAAATAAATAACAACTGTCGCAAGACTTGGGCACTACTTGAGGTATGTATGGTTCGCATTGTCTCGTTTCGTCTCGGCTACTATATACCCTTTGTCTTTTTCTATAATAAACAAGAGAGAGAGAGGAGTATCTATCTATCCATTGATAATCATATCCTATCCTGTCCTATCCTATCCTTTCTTTCAAATCTTTAACTTTCATCGAATGGGGAAACGCGAACGCCTAAGAAAATAAATCTAGCCAGTAAGCGCTTCAGCGCAAACAGGCGACAAAAAACCCACACCGATTTCAGCAAATCATCGGGCTCTTCGATGCCTACCATATAACTAACATCTTCGCGAACAGTCACGAAGACCTATCAACGTCAACAGGACCATCTTCATTGTTGTCATTGGCTCTATTAGCCCATCAGGTGATTGAACCCATCTGCGGACAACGGTTCATAGAGATTTGCTCTGTTCAATCAGAGTGCAATCATCGTCCTTGTTCGCGCCCTAGTCTCGGAAACCTCCTCGGTCGAAGAGAGATTTCGAGGCGCGTCATTAGTATCTGCCCTCTGCCCTTTATTCCTTGGTGAGTTACCTGCCGTACGTACATCATGCTGCATATCCTACCTACTACCTATCTACTTACCTATACATTACTTCCCTCCCTCTCTCCCTCTACCTGTCTCTGCCTGTCTCTTTCACACCGGGCTGTGCCCAAGTAAGTGCTTGCTGGTCCAGATTCCTTCTACGCAAATAGCCCCCTCCAGAGCCACCTCAATCCCGGCATATAGGTACACCCAGCTATTTTCATCTAATTGCGTTGTCGCAAGCTTACCCCAGGATGGTACATCGATCCCTCAGATGCACCTGTTTGCCAGTATCTAATATCTCATCCCTTCCTCGCTTTTTGGCGGTATGGTGTTAATCCTACTCCTCGTTTAATTCGCGGAATTCCCTCGTTTCTTTTTCTATCTTTCTAGAACCAGTCTACTGACATTCCTTCACGATAAAAAGACGCGACTAGTCCCATCAGTTCGGAACGCCTACGCAAGTGAACCCAAGTACTCGGGAACTTGCCAAAAAGAGGTATGTATCTGTTCGGTACTCTTGCTACATTGGCACATATTTGGTACACATTTGGCACACATTTACCTCGCCTTTCCCTTTATCCCCCATCTGCCCGTCTGCAACGATACATTCGCACACCACCTACACCGTAGCGCTCCATCTCGTCTCTTTCCCACTACGGTAAGGCTTGACGATCGGGTATACCCTCTTCAAAGTCGCAAACTCATCCACCCAAGGCACCAACCATCTATTCTTGCGTAACTCGTCTCGGCCCTTTCCTTTTTCCTTCCTTGTGCCTTTTTCTCCCGCACACCTCTTCCCTACGCTTGGTGTGCCTAGTAGCCCACTGCCTCATCCCAAAACAAGCTACCTATGTACGTCGCATGTGTCCGATGAATGCATATGCTTCTTGGCCAATCGCCCACAATGCAGCCTTGAGATTTTCGAGCTCTGCATGGAGCTTCGATAATCTAGCTCTACATCTACCTCGCAAGGTATAGCTAGCATCGGGCAGCCTTTGCCTTGCGCCACTTCTGGGCAATGGAGTTGGATTTCCTTGTCGCTCTGTGTGAGCTGGTCGACAGGGTGGGTCCAAGCTTGTGCATATTCCGTCATGCATGCCAGCGCATCAAGTGGTGGCCCAGCGCGAAAAAAAAAAGGCGGATTTCTCACCCCCCCAATCCACCCCCCCTCCCATCATCCGAGCTTCCCTTATACTTAACAAATAGCGAATCTAATATCTTTGGTTGGGTAGATCTCCACAATCAAATAGCCCATTGCGAATAGGCCTCGAGAACGACCTCGAGCTGTTTCGCTAGGCTACCCGCTCCCGCAGAAGATAATTTGCCATAGGCTCACTGTCGAACTGAATAGCCTCACGGCGGCTCACGTATCCCCAGATTCTCACGTGGTTGATAAAGTTCCGCCTCTTTTGGGATCTGAACTATCCTGATCCCACCCCGCGAGATACATTCGTTTTTGCATATGCCCTAGTGCGACCCTGCGTGCACCTACCACATCACCCATTGCCAGCTCATCCACGCATATCCAATAGATTGGATGCACATCCAGCCTACTTTCGCGGCTACCTAAGTGACTAAGGACAATCCCAACGCGTATGCCCAACTGCAGCCAACCTTACAGCCTTTTATCTCAAGGACGTCAAGCAACCCGAGGACAAGCTTTGCACGGTCTTTAATTCATCATCTTAGAAAGAACTTGTACCACTAGCATTATCCTAAGTGGCCAACAGATTTCCTTGTCCAACTTACCCGCTTGTCTCTGATTCGATTCGCATCGCAACAAGAGACATCGACGTTTGGGTATTGCAAAATCCCCGCCGCCCCGCGCGCTGACTGTCCCCGATAATGATGGACTACGCGCAATACCAGCAACCACCACAGACGGCGCATTCTGGTTACACAAATTCTGGTGCTGGTAACAACATCACATCTCCCACAAGCCACAGCATACATCAACACGGCGTGCAAACCTCGCCAATCTTACCATCTCAACATCAAACCTCGACTCCAGGACAAGGACACAACATGTACCAAACCCAGTACGGAGTACCCCAGCAGGGGATGCACTACGGAGTGCCTCAGATCCAGGCGGCTGCCATGGCCGCGACTGCTGCCGCAGCTGGCGGCACCGGTTATTCAAGCTACATGCCTTCAGATCCTAGCCTACCTCAAAATTCGCCGAGGATGACGCCCGGAGGAAAGAAGGACTCGCGCGACCCTCGATCACCTCAACAATTAAATAACGTAAACCAATTACCCGGAAGGCGCCTGAGCCAGGTCACAAGCCCAGGTGTTCCGAATGCGCCTATGATGAACCACGCCGGTGCTCGGTCTGCCGTCGCACCTCCGCCGATGCCACCGACACAATCAATGCCGCCGCCCCAATCGCCTGAGATGACAGCCGGTGCCGAAGAGTCTCCCCTCTACGTGAACGCAAAGCAATTCCATCGTATCCTTAAGAGGAGAGTTGCTCGCCAACGTCTCGAGGAGGCGCTAAGGCTAACGAGCAAGGGAAGGAAACCTTACCTTCACGAATCGCGACATAATCATGCGATGCGCAGACCTAGGGGTCCTGGTGGTCGATTCTTAACTGCAGAAGAGGTCGCCGAGATCGAGAAGACTAAAGGCGGAGGCGATGATAAGGATGGTGGTGTAGTAGAGGCAGTGACCGTCAAGGCCGGATCGAAGAGGAAATCGGATTCCAATTCCACCGCGCCGCATAAGAAGGCAAAGATGGAGCCGGCGACGCCTGACGACGACGACGATGATGACGCCGAAGATGATAGCTGAAGGAAGCTATGAGCCACACTACATACCATTCCATACCATACCATACTATACCACTTTATTTTGTGAGCCGTTACGACGTTACGATAAGCTCGATTCTTACTACTGATACCTTCCCGTGTCCAGTCTTGGGGGAAGGGGAGCATAGTAGGGAGTCGATTTGGGGGGATCAGTGCGTTGATCTGTTTTGTTTTTTTTCGGTAGCCGGCTTGCGCGAAGGTCCCGGAGGTACGCCAGTGGAATGTGCAGGGGCGTCAGGACACTCGCTTTCGATTTCCCTAAACCGTTTCGCCATCGCTCACGCGATACCTTCTTTTCCCCTTTTTTTTTTCTATTATTTAATGCGATTGCATACTGGCACGTTCGGTGGGAAAGGATACGGTCTAGGGAAGTTTGACGGGAGGAAGATTGCATGGAATGAATTGAGATGAACGGATGGATACCCCCCTTATTCACCAGATCTGGTTGCCGTTACTTTTTTTTTCTCCCGCGTCTTTTCTTCATTCTATTTCGTGTCATCTACTTTAGGGGCGGATGTATTTTTGCTCGGACACGCACACAAGTGGTCAGGCTACCAAAGATGCGTCAGGCGAAAGGGGTGGCGTTGATTTTAAGGAGACCAAATGCAGAGGGGAAAAAAGAAAACAGAGAAAGCAATGATGAAATAACCCTGCCAAGATTGGGAGAAAAAAAAGGATCTTGCCAAAAACCTGGACCCCCACGCTGGATATAGATTTCCAATGGTAATCCGTCGCCGGATACAGGGAACAACAGAGACATAGGAACTACGAAGTACAACTACTTGCGCTTCCTCATACCACTCATATTTGCGTGTTATACTTTATGTGAAAATAAAAACTTTGTATCGTATCGCTTGCTTTTTTTCTCCGATCGTGACCGTAGTTGTATGATTCTGAGATGAAAATTTATTCGCCGTTGGACTTTAAAGTTTTGATATACCTGCCTAATAGTGAATTTGTACTTACCTCTACTGTGTGTCACGTGACTTTCGTCACGTACTTAGGTAAACTAAAGACCGTGACCCATTTTTATTTATACATCTTTGGCTTTTGACTTTAGACATTCGTGGGAAAAACAACGAATCGGGCATCACAGTTGCACTCGACGTACTTGGGATGTTAGCTTTTCGTCTGGCCCTAACGACGTATTAACTTCCACGATGCTTTTTTTCAGGTACGTTTCTTCTTTGACCGTGTTTGTTGGGCTGGTTTCTTGGATTGGATTGGGTTGCTTTGAGGAGGAGTTTGTTTGATGGATTTCTTGCGGAGGTGATTGTGGTATGGGGGGATGTTGAATGGGCGGGATCGTAGTGAATGCTGGGACGGTCGCGGCTGTGGTTGGGGGAGAGGAGGGAGGAGGTTCTTCGCTGCTTTGTCCATTGACGAACGAGGACGACTTGTGCTTTGTCACGTGAACCAAGGAACATTGGGGTCATGTGCTTTCATGTCCCTGTACTTCGGAGCTTAGGCTTGGGGGGTTCTAGAAAGAGTTGGAGATGGGAAGAGGCGGCGCAGGTTAAGAAACGATAAGAAACGTTGGAAGGTTGGCTAACATGGGCGGGTGATAGTTTCTTCAAGACCCTCATCGACCACGAGGTTACGGTCGAGCTCAAGAACGACATACAGATCCGAGGCACGCTTAAGAGCGTCGATCAGTATCTCAATATCAAACTTGACGATATACAAGTCGTCGAAGAGATCAAGTACCCGCATCTGGTGAGTCGCAGGTTGGAGTCAGTTCTGTTTGGATGGTATCCGGGTTTATGAGAGCACCGCTACCATCCTCTTTGTCTGCGCATCCTTGCTGGCCACCGTGAATCACCAGATTTTGGGGCCTGTTAGCGGTGCTTTGATAATTCCCTTTCCCATCTCTCTTCCTTACCTTCCGCCCACACATAAGTCCTAGAGAGAGATAACGTAACAAGCTCATACGTAAATTTACTAACGAAATGCGAATCCAGAGCTCCGTCAAGAATGTCTTCATCCGAGGTTCGGTCGTAAGATACGTCCACCTCCCCTCCAACGCTGTAGACATCGCGCTACTAGAGGATGCCACGAGAAGAGGTTCGTACCAATCCCTCACTTTCTACTCTTTCCTTCCCTTTTCCTTCCACGGTGTCCGAAAGGATCTTCCAATACGGCTAGACAAGCAACTAACAATCCGCAACAGAGGCCGCCCAACAAGCCGGGAAAGGAAAATGAGCATAATGTTCCTCGGAGAACGTAAAATGGAGCAAGACTAGCAAGCAACGCTGTGACCTAGAGCTCTAGCCACTAGGAACCAGCAAGACGAGGGGATCCACGACTAGGCCTTGAGAAAAAGAGACTAGTACTGCTATTGTCGTTATCGTGACGGATAATAAAAGGGCTTGAGCTTTTAGCAAATTCGCTGAAAATACATGTGTGTCGTTACGATACATACATTCCTAGGCGATAGGCGTCGATTCGTATTAATGATCAATCCGTCCTCACATGATACCCATCAATAATTCTTCATTGGTGTTCTATGTCACTCCTGTAAATCTGAAGTCCCAGTTGGCTGTGACTGAACGAGGTATATACCTGAGGCTATCCAGCTTTCTCAGATATACAAATTAGGTACACTTATCCTAAATCTATCTATCTCATACAGACAGCCCATGCAAAAGCATATCCTAAGTCCTCAAAGCCCCATCCAAAACCACTACCACCAAACTCCCCCACCCTTCCCATCCCTCCCCTCCCAAAGCTCTTCACCCTTACCCTCACCATCCTCCCCCTCAAGCACCCTCACAACCCCCCCTTTCCTCCGTTCCGCAAGCCACCGATCAACCCACCCCTTCATCCTCCTCCTCCCAGGCTCACTTCCCACATTAACCGTCGGCACAACCTTCTCGATCCTAAGCGTCATCAAAAACAACGCCAACTCCCGAAAACTGCTGTGTTCAGAGTACGGTACACCAAAGCACATAGCCTGGCTCGTACTCCCCCTCTGCGCAACAAGGTCTTTACACGAGAACCTTGTGCGCCACGCCGGTCCATGCAGGATGCCCGTCGTCGGGACGCTAGCAGGGGAAGTATTAGCAGGGACGTTTTTGGCGGTAGTGGCACCGCCCCTATAGTTCCAGCCGCTGGGGCGGAAGCCGACGATGCGGTCGAAGTGGGCCTTGTACCCGTTGAGGTACTCCTGGAGCGTCTCGGCGCGGATCTCCGCCAGCATCTGCATGTGGACCTGGGCCTCGAGCGGGTTGGCCGTCATGAGCGCCGCGAGCTCAGGGTCGCCTAGCTGCTTGCAGATCTTGATCTTGGCCGGCGATGCGAAGACCTTGGTTCCGAGAGCCTGTGCGATGGCCTTGCATATGCGCTCTTTGCCGATGGAGTACGTGCCGCAGATGACAAGGAGTCGATTCCTCTTCGTCTTCCCCTCGGCTTTAGTAGCTGTGGACGAGGAATCATTTTCTTCTATTTTCCGGAAGAACTTGCTGACTCCACCTTTCTCTTGTGATAGCCCGTTTAGAACTTCGTCCGTATTTCTAGGGTCTCCGGATATCGATTTACAGAATTCGGCACAAGCTGAGATGACATCGTCTTGTGGGGGGAAAGAATAACGAGGATTGAGGTATGTGGTATCTAAGTAACAGACGTCGATCTTCTGTTGCTTTATTTTGCCTGAGACGGTATCGAGTATATCAGGCTTTAGTGATGGGTGACTGACATGTGCCTTGCAAGCTCGAAAGTCGCCACAGTGAAGAATCCGCTGTTTCCTAGGCCCCTTCCCAATGGTCTTCTCGAATAGAAATAATGAACTACCGGGACAGTGGTTGGCTGGTATCATAGTGACCGTCACCCCCTCGGTTCCGGGAATCTCGACCGTCTCCTCAAATTCAAGTTCCTTGACCCATTTCGCAGCAGTCCGAAGTTGGTTTTTGACAAGGCTTCCTGTTACTTTGCTGCAGTAGATCGGTCCATGAGACCAATTGGCCGTCAAGCCGATGTAGTGGTCACTATGGAAATGGCTTAGGAAGTAGGCATTGCAGCCTTTTACGGCGCCGTACCGAAACGCATCAACGCATATGAAAAACCCGGGCATGATCTTGTAAAATGGACATGTCCGTTTATACGCAGGCTTCCCGCGTGATGCGTTCTCTGCGGCTGCGGCTGTAGCCCACGCCGCATCTTCCGCATGTCCCGACATCAGCTTGCTAAAGGCCGAGGTTGGTTGGTTTGCCGTGTTCCCTAGTTTGATAGGATTGGCCTGGCCTGGCCGTGGTATGGCAGCCTTTGCAAAGCGCTTGCTAATTTCTGGCGCATCAACTGCATCTAGCGGCGGTGGCTCTTCCGTCTTTGGAAGGGGCAGTGGATTACCATCTAGACAAGCGTTCACATGAACCGTCGCTTGGTCCGAGGAGATACCAGCTAGACTGGCATTACATAGTGGACATCTTTCTACGATTCCTTCAGCCGCATTAAACTCGTCGATCATTCCATCTGAAGTGTAATTTCCTGCTTCTTCAGCTTCGAGCCTGGCTTGTTCTTCCATATAACGTCTTTCCCGATATTCTTCGCCATCGTCAAACTCGTCGACATCATCAAAGAGCCCCTCCATATCCTCAAGATCTTTAAATTCTTCATATGTAGATTCTTCTTGCTTGAGCGGCGGGATTTCGGGAATTTCTGGGCAACTTTCGTCGACGGGTAACTTGGGTATGGGAACGGTTTCTGGTTTCTCTGTTGTACTTTCAACCTGCGCTAACGTAGCATGTACTTCGATATCCATGGTGTCCCTCAACGGCGAGGGTTCTACTTCATCATCTTCGCTATCGGAATCTATCAAAAACGGGCCCTTCTTTCGAACCGGCTTCGTTCGCGTTTGTCCTGGCGGCGATGACCCTGTCTGCCCTGGACCATCACTATGTACACTTTCTAGATTATGTGGTAAAACATCGTTCCCATTGTGACTTAATTTCCTCCGCTTCGGCGATCTCGTCCCGTTCGTGGCATCGTCGGGAATCTCCGCATCTCCGAATAGATCCTCATCGTCTTTCGGCGGCGGAGATGGTACTGTATTATTCGGTGGGAGCGCGGTTTGATTTATAGGACCAGCACAGAACAATTGTTCTTCTACTTCAACTTTTTGGAAGAAGTTAAGTATATTCCCATTTGGCTTCTTCGTAGACGGTGTCTTCGCGTTTGCGCCTTTACTATTTGCTGAGGAGCCGAAGTTGAGTTTGGTTTGTTTTCGACGAGGGGTTATCGACTTGACTGTTGTCGGGGGAGGCATCGTGAAGGGAACTTCGATGTCGATTTGGCGCGATTGGGCATGCTATAAAATTGGTGTTAAACGGAAAAAGTCAATGACGATTGGCGATTCTAAATAGCGACTAGATAATAATTTCGATCTAGTGAAAAGCAGAGTTGAGTGATACGCTCTTTCCATCAAATTCTCATCCTTTTCTCGTCGCGGGAAGCCTTTGCCATGGCTCGAAAGAAACGTTCTTTCGTTCTTTCCAATTTGTTGCAAGTCTTGTCATCGATGTGGATATCTATTTTAAGATACTAAGAGATTAATCTAGGTACTAAAAGGGATTTTTGCCCCTCGGTCGGTACGGAACTTTTAGACGCGTCCCCCATTTACGCGCTGTCACTTGACTATTTCGACTATGTAATTAAACCATCATCGTCGGCCAAGAATTTCGACAAGACAATACTTTTCACTAACCGGGATATATAGCTACTTATTATGTAATGCATTGTACATATATGAAATCAGCGACTGTTTTTTGGTTACAGTCCAATCCACTCATCCGTAACGCCATGCTACCTATCAACTACATAGGTAATCAATTCGGTGTATCATATCTCAATCCCATTTAACTCTCGCATCAATCACGAACCGTCATCCCTTAATCCCATGCGAACCCTGTGAGAAGCCGTAGGTAGTCTAATAAGAAACCCTTCCCTACAAAATCGAAGCACTAGTAAACATGAACACACTTAGGAAATCGTCGTAGACTCTTTACTTCCGTCTAACGATGGTTCCTCAAGCGTTCTGTCACTAGGCGCATTGCCCGAAGTCCTATCGACTGCCTTTGACTTCTCTCCCTTCAGCGAGTTGATACTACCTGTAGTAGTACCCTTGAAGTAGTCGTGGATCTCGTTCGTGTAGTCTTCGTCGTCGTCGACAGGAGTCGTCGATTCGGCGTCGCTACCAGCTCTGACAGCTTCTCGCTCCTCCCAGTCGGTGCGCATGTCCCTAATCTTGGCCTTCATGTCCAAGTCGGGGTGGTAGTTCTTTCCAACGCCCATCCATTGTTCCCAGAGGGAAAGATGCGCTGGGTGGATGGCAATGCCGTGGTATTCGCTGTCGCGACCTTCGAGGATGTATTGCCATCGGCGCTCCTGTTCCTTGAGATCTAGACCGGTGGTGTCAGGGAGCCAGATGTATGTGATAAGCATACCCGCAAGACCAAACCAGGGAACAACGAGGAACTTGGTCCTGGTGTCGATGTAGTTGTATAAAACTGAAGCTAGGAGAGCACCGGCCTTTCCAATCATGGCAGAAAATCCGTGGGCACTGGCTCGGATCTGAGTAGGGTATACCTCTCCAGCGACGAGGAAAGTGACGGAGTTGGGACCGAATTGATTGAAGAAAGATGACAAGAAGTACATCGCCTGGAAAGCATGGATGCCTGCAGAGCTGATGTAGTAGTCGTACTTAAACGCGGGGACTACAAACATGATGAAGCACATCAAGAAGCCGACCTAATTACATGTCAGTCACGCGAAGTGTAAAGGGGAGAAAGTGGACCACTAACCTGTTGCATAGCTTTTCTTCCATACATTTTGTTGTCAATCAGCAAAGACGCCATGTAGTAACCAGCAAGCCCGACGACGACGTTGACCAAGTTCCAGGTCCATGTTGTCATGATTGAGCTAGGGTTGTCGGAAATGACCTTGATGAATTGACCTTGGAAGAGCTTGTTGCCGTAGAAGAAGACGTCGTTGCAGAACCATCCGCCAGCAGTGGCAAACAGGCGACCGCCAAAGTTGCTGAAGGTCAACTTGAGAGATCGAACATCGTAGCCCGTCACCTTCGACTTCTTCTTGGCTTTCTCGAGTTGCTTGCTGGCAGACTTCATGCGCCAAGTACGGTAGTAGGCCAGCCACAATGTGCCAATGGCTGGGAAAGCGAAGGACAGACGGAAAGCGTATTGAGCAGCGGTTACGGAGTACGGGGGGTTGCCGCTACCGCGGTTGAAAATCACCAAGAGGACAATGAGGACAACCTGGTTGACAAATTGACCCCAACCTTGCATCAAGAATGCCATGGTAACTTTTCGACCACGGTGGAGACGATCATCTCTAGTCGATAATCTACCGGCAGTGACGGCGTTTTCCATGGAAGAAGTAGCAGTGATGGGATACTCGCCACCGACTCCGATACCGTAGACGAACAGAGACCAAGCATACATGATGACCCAACCCTGGAGCGTTGTACCCCATGATCCGGTCAACATGAGAAGACCGAGAAACATGACCAAGGCATCTTGTATCAAACCCCATCGTCGGCCGATCCAGTCGCCAATAATCTGCAAAGACAATCTTGTTAGTGACACTGCGATATTTCTAACTTGAGGGAACATGATAAGGGAAAAAAAGACTTACTCCGACCATCACTTGACCGACCATGATACCAATAATTTCAAGGTACGTTACAGAGGCCACCCAGTTAGTAGTACAATCAGATCCGCTTGACTTCCAGCAGCTTGGCCATGCGGCCTCGAAAAGAGGCTCGAGATTTCCAATTGAGAAAAGGACGTAACCTTCTAGACCGAGACCAGCACCAGGAAGGATGGCGTTTCTGAAGTACCAAGAGACCGGGCTAAGAGGATCCTCCTTGACCATAGCCCAGATACCCTTGGCTTCGGCCGCAGTTTCAGCTCGGTCGACCGCGCTGACGAAGGAAAAGCGCTTCCAGAAGGGTAGATCAGCCCAGTAGACGCCATCGCTCGTGTACGAGTCGTCAGGATGCGTTAGATGCGAGAAAATCTGTCTCTCGTAGTCGGTAGCATAGCTGGTGGAGCCTCTTCGAGGGTAGTGCTGGTGCTCATCGCCCGTCTCAGGGCCGTGAGGAACTGGGATCTCTCCTACCGGGGGATCATGTTCGTGGTGGCGGCGAAGGAGATTCGCCATGACTTTAAATAGGGATAGCGATAAGAAGAGGGTGGATGGAATAGAGGAAATAAGGATGAAGAAGCCGATCGGCTCTCAAAAAAAGATCAACACAAGCTTATTCTAATAGGTTCAGATGAAAGCTTATTGTGATAGGATATGGTGAGAAATTTTGGTAAGATAACAGTGCCGTCTTGGCTTTAGGAGGAAGATACGGGCAAGGCTGTCTAGGTGTACCGTTTGCTAGGATTAGTTTGTTGAAAGGAAGGATATTGAAGGTTGGGTAGGTAGGCACGCGACACAAGCGTTGTGTAGCTCTTCCCGCAGCCGCCTATATACGAAACGTATAAGATGATAGTTTTGCCGTAGGTATGGCGTGGTTACAGATATGAAGAGAGAAGAGTTGTGTCCGAGAATGGCCAATGCCATAGATATATAAAAGAACAGTGGACTGAGCGGGAAATTTTCCAACGGAGTGGCCGTGGCAATCTACCTCACGAAAAGTATACGCTTCTATCTATCAAAGATGCTACGATTCGGTACAAACTAGGAGTACTAGACTTGCTAGGTTAGTGAGCTAGGTGGTACTCGGGGCACGATGGGGATTCTTGGCTTCTGACTGGCAAGCGATCCCCCACAAAAGCTGTTTAGGGGACCGACTTCCCTACCTACCACCCATGAGATGCGGACTTTAGAATGTTCTTGGCTATGGGGCTGCATAATCCGACGGCGTCAGAGGCTTTCGACATCAATACCTCACGCGAGCAGTGTGGCGGGCTAAAGATAGACATGTTTTGTTTCTATACGTAAAAACTTGGGTAGCCAATGTTATAGCCAAGGGAGGCCAAGTTCTTGTCCGTTACGAAGCCCATGAGCAAGCAGTCGATGATCTCAAAAGAGCATACGAATACTCATTAAAGGACGATTTGATTGAGCAGAATCTCAATGCGGAAGCTCAAATCATGACGGGATTATTTCCATTGACGTAAAAAGGTATCCGGTTCGCAGAAACTACTGCGTAGTAACATTTGACTTTCGTGTATCTTTGAGATCTCTCAACGACGAAAGATTAACCAATCAGAAGTCTTAAATCGAGCACGTTTCTCCCCTGGGCCAGATGATTCGGTAGATTACCCCTGTCAGAGACTGGGGAAGCTAATCTTTTCCGAACGTCAGAAGTACCTCATGTAGCAAATAAGCCGCTGGGGTACGAGGGAGTACGAGGGGTTAGGACAGGGGACCATGCGGGCCGAAGTTCGTTCGAGATGTTATGAACCAGGATGATGGCAGCCGTGGTGACCGAAGGCGAACCTTGGAACTGAAGCTGCCGAGGGAAGATTCTGCAGGTTCTGCAAGAGGGAAGGGCTAGCTTCAAACCCCCGCCCTAGCGGAAGAAAATGTCTTTCGATGTGGTTGGTCAGCGAAAGATTCCAAGGTTCCATCAACTCGTCAAGATGCTGCTAGATGCTGCTAAGCTTTCCCTCGGCGCTGCAAGAAACACACTTCAAATTGCTAGGCGAGCGTCCGTCGGCTGGGCAAGACGACTCTAAATTCTCGACCACCAGGGACTTTACCCGAATTCGTAATTGATCGTGTGATCTATTGCAATTTCTGTCTCTACCGCAGTTGGCCATGTTTGTTATTGTTGGTCGTGCGTACCATGCGTGAGTACGTGCGAGGGTGCGGAGAGAGGGAGCCCTAGAGATATCTCAACTTATTAGGCATATATTGCCGATTGCCCCAAATAACCGTTGAAAGCTTCGAAACGTGCTTTGATGTGGCTGTAAATAGAAACAGAAACAGAACCTATTATGGATAGATAGATAATAGCATCTCATCCTTTACTAAGTGCCCCACGGACTTGTGTCCATCTCATCCCACCTCATTCCCTACTTTTGCATAAAATTGTCTGACCTAGTAGTACGGCAGGGAACAGTGATAAGATTAGGTAAAGCCATAGCGCCGCATCGTGCTCGTTTGCTGTTCTCTCATACGATGTTTCGACAAATCAAGTGACAAGGGACTTGGGTGATCGTCACCATCAGGATTGAAAATTGAGACTTCAATTGGTAATTGGTTCCTTCGTCGCCTCGATTCGTTTACCGGGTGCGTCAGCTACCTAGCACCTTGTCCAGTGCGGGTTGGTTTCAAGTTTCCTCTCATATGAGAAAGTGATGAATATTGACGAATTATCGCATTCAAAAGTTTCCAGATCAATTCCAAAAATGTGCGATTAGATAAGCCAGAAGTATCAGGTACAATTGCAGCCTGAGGCAGGAACATCGGTGATAAGGTTTAGAAGAAATTGTCACTTTATCGATAATGACTCAACCCTTTAATTGATTACACGTGATCACGGGTCGATGACTGTCGCGTCCGGGCGCGTCGGCGTGCCTTAATTTATAGCTGACATAGGGAATTCTACTTTGATTCTATGATTTGATGAAGAGCTTTTACGGATTAAATATTCAGTTGCGTCGATTTTTCCCCTTGACAGCTAAAAGGTTCCACACGATGCCGCCTCGCAAGTCATCTCAACGAGGCAAGGCGCCCGCTGTCACCGCACAGAAAGGCAAAGCTGGAAAGCGAAAGATTGAGGACGACGAAGATGACGTAGAGCCCACGCCAGAACCCAAGGCTGCGAAGAAACGCAAGACCGCCAAAGGCAAGGTAGAAGATCTTGTGGCTCTAGCCACGCGAACCGTTATAGATACCCTTAAGAAGCCTATGTATATCGGTGCGCATGTCAGCAGTGCAGGAGGTTTGTGATACCCCTATATGCTCGAATCTACCCCAAGCTAACATACACTTCTTAGGTGTGCAAAACTCGATCACCAATGCCGTTCATATCGGCGCGAACGCCTTCGCTCTATTCCTCAAATCTCAGCGCAAATGGGCGAACCCGCCTATCGCACCCGAAGCCCTCAATGGGTTCCTCACACAATCAAAAGAGCACAGATTCGAGGCCCACAAGCACTGTCTACCGCACGGGTCATATCTCGTGAACCTCGCCGCCGCAGAGAAGGAGAAGGCAGAGCAAGCATACAGCTCCTTCCTAGACGACTTACAACGGTGCGAGTCGCTCGGCATCAAGCTATACAATTTCCACCCTGGAAACAGCAACGGCGAGCCCAGGCCTGAGGCCATCGCGCGCATAGCCAAGCAGTTAAACAAGGCGCACAAAGCGACGAGCACCGTGATAACCGTACTCGAGAACATGGCCGGGCAGGGCAACGTCATCGGCAACACATTCGAAGATCTACGAGATATTATCGAGCTCGTAGAAGACAAAGATAGAGTCGGAGTCTGTATAGATACAGTAAGTCCATTACCATCATATCCTCCCTTTCAAAAAATGACCAAGCCAATACTCACACAACCACAGTGCCACGCTTTCGCCGCCGGCTACGACCTCCGCACACCCGAAACCTTCGAAGCCACCATCGACAAGTTCAACGAAACCGTCGGATCCAGCTACCTAAAAGCCTTCCACCTAAACGACAGCAAAGCGCCCTTCGACTCACACCGGGACCTCCACGCGAACATCGGCACCGGCTTCCTGGGCCTACGCGCCTTCCACAGCGTCGTGAACCACGACGGCTTCAAGAACATGCCCATGATTCTCGAAACGCCCATCGACCGGAAAGGCGACGACGGCAAATCCTACGAAGACAAGCAAGTCTGGGCGGACGAGATCAAGCTGCTAGAATCGCTCATCGGGATGGACGCCGAAAGCGGCGAGTTCGCAGCTCTGGAGAAGCAGCTACAGGCCAAGGGGACTGCCGAGCGCGGCAAGATCCAGGAGCAGGTCGACCGCAAGAGCGCCAAGGACGCGAAGAAGACGGCCAAGGCCGCACCCAAGAAGAAGGCCCCGCGCGGGAGGAAGAAAGCTGAGACGTCCGAGGACGAGGGTTCTGATTGAATGATCACCACTCAAACAAACTATTTTTAGGATAAAACAAAGTTGTTTGTGGGGAATGGTCAGTCACGGCAAGGTCTAAGAGCTTAGCTACGTGAGTATTGTGTCATAATACGATTTGTATTTAACGAATTCTGTAAAAAAAGGAAAAGAAAACAAGGCAAGGCGTTACTGGTATGGGGGGTATGTAAGCAAGCAAGCAAAAGCAACCATCCATAATCCTGACTGCAAGTTCCATATGAACGAGGGGTGGTGATCAAGTAGAGAAACACCGCCGCGGCGGCGACCCTGAACGATGATGCCGCAGAACCTCGTGAGAAATGCGAATCCCCAACCCCTCACAACGCCCGCCCATGCATGCATTGCAAATCAGAAAAGCCCGTTCAAGTCTCGTCCGTCTCGTCTTATCTCATAGCCACGTTCCCATCTGTACCTCCTCCCGGCACAAAGACAGGGCTTCGTTCACGCATTCACCCATCAATGTCGTCTCGCCTTCGCCATCCCCTCAACCCTAGCCATCAATCCCCTAACCCCAACGCCCTTCTCACAATTAACCTCCAACCAGCCCTCCATGCGCTCCCTCACGCGTCTCAAGCTGCGATTCACCGGCATCCGGCGACCCTCCTCAGCCTCAACATGGCTGCCTGGATTCAACAAGACATCAAAGCACTCGGCCCAAATCTCCGTCTGCCAGTAACGCTTCAGACTCTCGCGAATCTTGTAGCGTCTACCCGCCGAAGTGCCGAGTCCACCCTGATCGGCGCGCGCCGTCTCGATGTACTTCCCGAAGAGGAGCGTGTGAATAGTACCAGCGAGACCATGGTAATCAAGCTGCCAAGTCCAGGGGCGGCCCTCACGGACCTCAGCACAGTCGTGAAGATCGGTTTTCCAGTCCGCGACGAACTGGACGTCCGGGTCGAAGGCGCGCATGTCGATGCCGCGGCCGAAATCAATGAGTACAACGCCGCGAGCAGACCAACCGCCTGAGCCGTCGGCCCGCCATTGACTGGCCAACGCGGAGGTGGGGTCGTCGAGGCGGAGGAGGCAATTGTCTGGCTTGAGATCGCCGTGTAGGATCTGCTTCGCGTGCAGGGCCTCGACCGTGCGCAGCAGCTCGATGCTGAAGAACATAGCGAGCGACTCATCCATGGGCGCCTTGTTGGCTTCGCTAAAGAAGTTGACGACGTCTAGCAGGGTACCGTGGGGGTGCAGGGGAAGGATTAGGAAACCTTCGTCTTGATACAGGTGTAGTTCGTGAGCCGCTGAGATAGAGGCCGTTGCGCGGTGCTGCGGGCCTAGACGTGTGGCAGCGAGGCGCATCATGTGGAACTCCCAGGCCGTAGGCGGCTGTTCCATTTTCAAGGCTTCGAGGGTGTGGCGGCTAGATGTTGCGAATGCGCCCTTTCCCATGGCAACCTGTGGTGTGTTTTCATCGGCATCGTCGTCATCTGGAGACGAGTTCTCGATAAGGTAGACAGGGGCAAACGCGCCTGCGCCTAGTTCTCGCTTGATGGTGTATTCGCCTATAATCTCAGGGAACTCGAGTACAGGGAGAGAGTGAATAGTGCCTGTCTTGTCACCATCTTTCTTGCCTCCTGCCTTCGCCATGGCTTTGGCGAATTTGCGAACCTCGGCACCTTTGTCGCATCTCTCGCTGCGATGATCGTAAAAACCCGGATACGAGGTAAGCGGAGCATGCATACGTTCGAGGATCTCTTCTCGAACAGCCTTGTCGACAGGATTGCATCGCAGCTCCTTAATAATTGGTCCCTTCTGTATCTCTTTCGCCTTCTGTTGACTGGGCGGAGTGGCAGCTTTCAGCTTCTTCAGGAGAGGCTGTGCGATCTTCAATGGAGAACGATTCTCGTTCAGGACTTCGCGTAGAGGGCTACTCAGCGGTCCGAAATCTTCGTCATCTTCATCTTCTTCCTCTTCAGTCAAGTCGTCGCGACTATCCCTCTTACTAAGAACCTTGTTGGTGATAGATTTAGCCGCGGTGATGAGACCGAGAGAGGATTCTGTACGTTCCGTGATAGGTGTCATGAACGGGAGGCGATTGTTAGCCACCTCGGCCGGGTCCCTATATGGTCGCGTAGGTGCTTCATAATCTTCAGGCGGAATGGGGATGAATCGAGTTCTCGGAGGTGAATCTTCGGATTCTTCATCATCGTCATCCTTTGTATCGATCAGATCAGACAACACAGAGTCACCTTGTTCTCCATCCTCCTGTTCATCGTTACCGTCACCTTCGATTCTTGGGACGTGTTTTTGGGCCGTGAAGTCCGACCACTCGCTCACACTCTTGACATCGGAGGTCTCATCATCATCGCCAGCTTCACTTGTCGAGATTTGTCTGGTTGTATTGGCGCTTTCTCCACCGCTAGTGTAGTCGCCATCTGTTAGATAATCTTCATCGCCGCTCTCTTCATTTTCCTCTTTAGTGGGCTTAAGAGGAGCATTGAAGAGATCGTAGATCTCGTTAGTCGCAGCCTTGGTGTGCATCGTCATTGTTGGTTCTGAAGAATAAGAGTTGCTCTTCTTTTTAATTTTTGGTCCCGACGGTGAATCCAACTTTGCTTTGACTGTAAGAAAAGAATTAGTGATTTTTGTCTTTCGCAGTTGCCTAACATAAAAAGTTGTCGCGTAGGATGGTCAGTGACGACAAGGGTGGGGATAGTAGTTATAGTGACTTACTAATTTGGGTTTCGTTGACTTCCAACATCTTCTTCTTCTTACTTTTTACAGGCCTGGCCTGATCTTTAATTGCTCCATTTTCATCGAGCTCTACAGCATCATGGTGAATGATCAATTTCTCTGCCATTCTGTGGCCTAGTAAATCGATTTCTGGCTTTCGAGGTGTTAATTCCTCTTGCTCCTCTACGATGTTGTCGTCATCCCAGCATACATCAAGCCAACCTTGATTCGCAGCCCATAATTCTTCGAAGCTGAGTTCAGTACCAGGCTCCTCAGGGGTTGGGTAGATAGCCTCGAGGTTAACATAAACGCGCTCTCTTTTCCCACTTTGGGGATTGACAATCACTTGGTGCTTTGATGGGGCAATGACAATATGAGACTCTGCTATTCTCGACATAGACTGAATATACACAACCGCGCAAACGCCATAAATTAGTCCTGCTGTTATCAACAAATGGGCATTGCCACTTGGGGTTAGAGATATTAACTTACAGGATCGCGGAATACAGCCATCTTTGGCCCGCTACTCTTCTTCACTTGCGTAGTCAACGTCTCTCCCACCCAAGGCTTTGCCTCCACCATATTCTCCTTCTTACGATCCGCTAATGATCCTATCGTATCCCAACCCTTCGAACTTTCGCCCATCTTTGACATTGGGCTTGCTTCGGAACCAGCATCTGAAAAAACCGCTAGTTTAGCCTTCCCAGGCTTTGAGGATTGCCCTCCGAGTCCCATATTTGGTCTTGGGGCCTGGGGATCTGGGGCTGGAGCTCGTGCCAAGGCGGCATAGGGGTCGACCTTAGCCATCAGTGCTGGCCGAACTGTTGGTAACGCTGGTGATGACGGGGCGTCCGCTGCAGCGGGATCTTGTGCCCTCCTCTGTTCAAATTCACCGAATTTACGAACTAGTCTCTGTACCGGTCTGGCCTCGCGCTCAATGCCTAATTTGTATACCTCCTCGGCCTGTGACCAACGGCCAGCGCTTTCTAGCCAAGCAGCGTACTCCTCATAGAACAGAGCCAAGGTTTCGCCGATGGTATGGCGTGATAGGAAGACGTAAGTCTCTCGAGGAGAGTCGGAGAAGAATTTAATATAGAGAAGCCACAACTTTAGATATCTGGGGTCGTTCTTGTATTGCGCCGAACCAATGAAAGACTTGGTGGCACGCTCAAGTAGGGTGTGTAATTGCGATTGGGGTGTGGCTTGCGCAGAGGGGTACGCATCAAATGTCCATCGCACGTATCGGTCAAACACGTCTAAGGGATCGTCAGACTCGGAAATATTTGCAATCTCTTCCTCGTACTCGGCTCTGATACAGTCGTTGATATTCTTGGTATCTGTCGGTGTGGGCGTCGAGAGTTTGTGTAGGGGAGACGAAGAGAAGGCTTCGACAAGCTTCTTCGCCGATCGTCCTCCGGGCAAGGACTGAATATTCTCCTTTTGCCCTTCGATGATGTCGAAATCGATAAGATCGCCAGCAGCCATTTTGATTTGGAAAAGGGAAATGGCGACAATGGCGAGGCTTGCTTCAGGATACCAGAGCAGACCTACAATGTTAGTATTATTCGTTGTTGAAGTTGAGAAGATCAACATGCGACAAGTGGTAGGCAATGTGGAGTTAGTCGGTGTAAATAATAGGTACTGAATTTAACCCCTGTCCCTTCCAAGGTTGTTGACTATTTTGATTGTGGCACTTGTGGCACTTATCGTTACCTTGACAACGATAAAGTGTGGGGCGATGACCATAGATATCACGAATATTGAATTAAGCGAATTGATCACATATCCATATCATTAAACCTAATTTATGACTTCAAAGAGTTTATTTTCCCACAGTAACTCGATATTATATCCTACTTCTAGTCTGCTAAGTCTATAAAAGTACAGGAACTGGCTGTTAATCAACACTTTCGATTTAAAAAGTGGTGGTAGCAATATTATCATGCGATCATTGGCCAGAACGATTCCTCCAAGACAAGGACTTTCTTAAAAAGCACCATGGAACCTGCAGCAATGACTTCCTCCGTATCATCGACTTGTGTGGCGGCATACGCGTCCAGGCACTCCCGGCATTCATCCACAAAAGCCACAAACTCGTCAGAAGTCCAATTAGGAATGAACTCCTTCCTTAAAGCCCCACCGTCCAGATCCGCTCCAGTATCCGTGTCGCTCGAAGCCTGTCGTTTTGCATAGGTCCAAGAATCCAAATAAGCCTTCTCCGTAGTCCAGAGTAGGACTAATCCATCCAAGAGTGTTTTAGACACATCTCCACGAGGCTGCGCGGCGAATGAATCAAATAAGTCGATGTAATTCTGCGTCGCCTTGTTGGGTGCGAAGCCAGCTGACTTATTTGATAAGTTATCTCCTTCAGCCACAGGTCCGAGACCTTCGAGGTCCAGTCCGTATTTCTCAGCAGCTTCCTCAAAGAACCGCAACTCCCTCGTAACACCTGCAAGAGCAGTTTGTATCAATGACAAAATGCGCCATTCCAGGGTCTTCGAGGTATCCCGGTCAGTTACTTTCGTCGGTAGCTGAACACGAGAGATCAACCCTCCAGCGAATCTGACGTAGGCCTGGGCATAGAGTCGGTCTTGCGATAGCCACTGGCTTAGAATCTCCGAGGATAGCCGGCCCTGGCCAGCGAGGCTAAGAAATTGAGATTGAGTAGCTCGCTGGTACAGGTCGCTTATCTCGGGGCTTGAAAGTAGATACTCCGATATTGTTGGTTTCGACATGATAGATACAAGTATGGTGATAGTTCGTACAAGTCCGTTAGATTTCTCAGCTTAGAAGGTCGGGTGGCTTTGGCACGATAAGTGACACAGCTATGCAACTACACATATATGTGTAGTTATAACCTCATGTTTAAAGCGCAACCACTATACACTCACCAAAGAAATGTTACGTAATAATGAAATCATCCTACGCTAACGTTTCATTGGCGAACCCTTATGTCGTCGACGAATTCTCCGTATATAAATATTTAGATCACTCCGTAGATCTTCATCGAAATCAGCAGACGCACTGATGAAACAACACAGTTACTGCGCGTAGATGACTCGGCCAAGACAAATAATAATATCAGGCTCTGATATAGAAGTAGTTGTCATTCACTTAAGAGGACAAGATTGGGTAACGGCAAATATCATTAACCTTACCTCTTCAGTCAGAGTTATGTCAACTTCTGTATGCGGCCTTTTACAGGTTGACATTTTATGCAGGAAACCCCGAACGAATATTATATCGTTCCAATGAATGAACACGTCCAGTGGTTTCAAGTCCGAAAATGCTGTGAATTGCCTCATTAGTATGCCTCTCCATTGCGCACATTCGTTGTTGTACAATTCGCAGTGTTATAAGCCTTGCGATTCGTTAGCCCAGCCTTCTTTTCCCGCAAATGGCATCTTTGCAAAGTCCATCCCGTTCGTACTTCAGGATGAAAGACTACATGAACCCCTTTTTTTCATTACCACGCGCCCACTTCAAAGTTCTCCTACGTATAATAGGTCAGTACTAAACATCATACAAAGAATGGATATGCTTACCTCTGGGAAGTATGTTGTCACCACAGTTCTGTCTGCAAATTTTCGGCCCGCAAGAGCCTGTAGAGCCTTCTTCGCAGATGCCGTCGTGTCATATTTGACATAAATTTTTCCAACTCCCGAAGATTGCCGACTACCACCAGTAGGTCGAGGAACCTTAAGATCTATGATCTGGCCAAACTTTGAGCACTCTTCATGAACATCCTCGCAAATTTCTATCCAAGTTAGTAAAAACGAACATGAAAGGCAGAAAATGAAACATACCTTGGTAATCATCGTTATCCATTAATTCTTCTGGTGTCACCATGTTCAACAACTGCAATACGCGTGTCTCCTCTGAGTCATTGGCGGTGGTTCCAGCCAGCATAGACATAGCATTCACACCCATTTCAACGCCTGCTACCTGGGTTATACCAATACTAGCCTTCCGCACCTTGAGCTTGTTGTCACCAATGGCCATGCCATTGAGGCCCTGGATGGCAATGTCGGTCGTAGCAGGATCGACAAATTCGCAGAATGCAATGCCCTGTCTAGCGTTAGATCTCGGAAATTCAAAAATATTCAAATGTAAGGGGGTAACTTACTCGAGATTCGTCAGTTCCGGTATCTTTGACCAAGGCCAACGCCTTAAGTTCGCCGAAAGAGGTCAGAAGTTCGGTGACTTGTTCTTCAGTAAGATACGGCGGCAAGTTCGCGATGCTGATTTTGTTCGGGGTGTCAATGACAACATTCGAAACTATACCAGCCTTGTACGGGACATCCTCAGCAATGGCAGGTACAATGTAATCCTTAGGACGCTGGATATTCAAACCACGTCCACCACCATTGACAGCACCGTTCGCAACTTCGTCAGGTTCCATCGAGACACCATCAAAGGCGAGGGCAACTGTAGCTTCTGAAGCGTGTCTGAATTCGAGAAGTGCAAACGATTGGTCTCTGGAAACCTGGCACAAAACGCAGGGATCGGTACTCTCGACAACGTTGAGGCCATTCAATTGGAGGTTGAAGAAACCCATGATAATATCCTCGGTCGAACCGGCGGGGATGTTGTAAACGATGAGTCTCTTGCTCTGTCGGGAATTGCCAGGCTTCAGTGCTGCGCTGTTAACTGCACCACCAGGTTGGTTCATAAAAGCTTGCAACTTCGTAGGATCCATCGGTTGCTGTCGCGGTGCGCCCGGTAGGGGGAACATGCCAGATAGCTTGGCTTGTTCGGCGGTAACGTTCTCATAACCAGGAGGTTTAATGTCCCATTGTGTCATACGTCGTTTGCGCTCTAGAACAGGGATGATGTCGGTAAGATCTGGGGTTGGTTCGCGCTTCTTAGGTGGCGGTGTTGGGCTACGTCCTCGTCGATTCTGAGCGAAGAGGTCATCATCTCGGTTTCTCTCAATTCTGTCGCGGTCTCGTCTATCACCGCCGCCACCGCCACCACGTCGATCATCGAACAGGTCGCGGTCGCGTCGAGGAGGGCGGCCGCCGGCATCTTCGCGGCGACCATCTCTTCTCGATCCACGGTCGCGATCCCATTCTCGGTCTCTTCTATCTCTGCCACCACCACCACCGCCTCCGGCACCGCCGCCAGCACCACCACCATATCGGTCCTCGCGTTCACGGTCTCGGTGACTACGGCTGGAAGCATAGGCATCCTCGTCTCTCGCGTCACGATGCGACCGACGAGGCGATCTACTTCGTCGTCGCTCTCGTCGATCACCTCGGTCACCTCGATCTCTCCGATCATCACGAGTAAATTCTCGAGATGAGCCATGCCGGCCATCTATAAATGGACATTTAATCAATTTGCTTTCAATAGTGATAATAGAAATTAGGATGAAAATGAATGCTTCTTACCTCGAGCAGTGTAGCTATCACCGTTCATGATGTTGATTCAATCCCTGGTGCAAATGCAGTTCGGAAGGGATGAATGAAAGTCAACAGTCGTGAATGAAAAGTTAAGATGGTGATAAAATAAAGTGGATGGGAATTGAAAGAACTTGGAGGTTAACGAGCTCTGATGCATGTATGTTAGGTTGAGCTGTTGATAGTCAGTGGAGCTGCAACGAGGCTGGAAAATAGAAAATAGATTTTTTGGCTGGTTCACGTCGGAGGTTTGCAGCCGCTGAGTGGCTCGAGCAGCACAAAGCATATCTAGCTAAGCCTGATTTGACCTAGTTGCTTTAGATTTAGCAGATAAGAGCCCCGCTTTCCTCTTTTGGGATGATAGAAAGTAAAAGTAAGGGAACCTTGGAAAGAGGCGCAACAGCACTGAAGAATTAAACCCCTTTTAAGCATTTAAATTCAATGCATCTAAACAACCTTGGAAGAGTCAACATCGAACATTTATTTCATGACCATCTCACACATCTCTACAATTCGTTTAATTCAGCAACCGTATGGCTCCCATACGAATATCAGAATGGCGCAAGTTGCCTTTAAGCTTGACTGATTTGTGCATTGAGACGACACTCCGTTGTGGACAATCATTTCGTTGGCGGAAAATAGACGATGAATGGTAACGCATCTTCTTCTACTTAATCTTCAATATCTCCGAATGAATTACTAAGACTGTCTATCATTAGGAATTGTGTTCTGTATGGCCGATTGCTCTCATTGAAGCAGGATAAAACTCATCTTCACTACAAGGTGATTTCTTCAATTACTCCATCATCATTTAAATCTCCGTCACCTATAAAAGGCGAGCCAGAGAGTGAAAGTGATGACGATACCGAAGCCCTCCTCAGGCATTACTTTAGTTTAAAGCATGACTGTAAGAAAACACAGACCATAACATCCATACATTCCATATCTTTAAAGTAATACACAGTTAAATAGTCATAGAATTATCTAAGCCCTTTACTTTTTTTACTAACTGAAAATGCAACAGTAACAGCGCTGTATGACCAATGGTCTAATTCTGATCCTAATTTTCGGAAGAAGGCCCCCAAGTTTACAGGAATCAGAATTCTCAGCCAAAGCCCATGGGAGGCACTAATAGCGTTCATATGCAGCAGCAACAATAATATTTCACGTATCTCTCAAATGGTACATCACGACCGTTTCTCCTAGCTCCACCATCACATGTTAACACCACATATCATAGGTCCATAAGCTCTGCATCCATTATGGTCCATTAATTGGGCACATTGGCGATGAAGCATTTCATGATTTCCCTACTCCTCAAGCTTTGAGTGGGCGAAAGGTAGAGGCTCATCTCAGAGAGCTCGGTTTCGGATACAGGGCCAAATACATCGCCGAGACGGCCCGTTTAGTTACCGAGGAAAGACCCGAAGCGTGGCTTGAGAGCCTAATCAACCCCGACAACCCTGGTTGGCAAATGATGAAGGCGGATGAAGCCGCTGAGTCCCCTAGCTACAGGTTCGCTCATGAGCAGCTGCTTCTTCTCTCGGGAGTCGGACCAAAGGTTGCGGACTGCGTCTGCCTCATGGGACTAGGATGGGACGAGGCTATCCCCGTAGACACCCACGTGTGGCAGATTGCTCAGAGAGATTACAAGTTCGGTAAGGTCAAAACGAAGACCTTCTCCAAGGCTATGTATGACGCTGTCGGTGACCATTTCCGAGAGATATGGGGAAAGCAAGCAGGGTGGGCGCAGTCGGTGCTTTTCACCGCAAACCTAAAGTCCTTCTCGGAACAAGCATCGGGCAAAGCTGAGGTGGTCGATATCAAAGTTGAAGTGAAGGAGGTTAAAGAAGACATCGCTACCATTAAGTCTACAAGTCGTTCCCGAAAAAGACGCCAGGTTGAAGTAACGGAAGTGGTCAAGACTGAAGAGCATACCTCCGCAAGGTCAATACGGGCTAGCAAAAGGCGCCGAGCCGAGAGTTAATAAGTTCCAGTCTCTAATCTAACGTTGCTCGACAATATCGTCGGTTCTCCCATTTGCTATACTAAATTGTACAACTCAATGATACCCCATACTTTCCACGACACTGGAGTTCATCATTATCTCTGCATATATATAATCATACAACCCTCTTGATAGTTTGGGTTTGGATATCATTCGCCAGAGAGTAGAACAGAATACCCATATATATCAGCATATTCGAATCATCGTTCCATAGCTCAAATCGAATACTCTTGTGAGCAATACCGAGGTTCTTCGGATAGATCGTGTACCCTAGATCACTGAAGATATAACATTATGCGCATCTTCGCGTTGTGCTTCGTCACATCTTATAGAAAATCACCCAAATCCATCACCATATTTTGCTTCGCTTATATATTTCTACGTGTATTTTACCAATAAAGCTCGTATCGCACACATCATAGGTCAACCCCGGGGTTATTCAAGGACCTTTCGATATGTCGCATATCTACTTTTCCTACGAATCATACATCTATATGTTCATCTATAGACGAAATTATAGAGTTCGTTTCAGGGAGGACTACTGCCAACATCTCACCACCTCCTTTTTGGAAATCTGGGGACTGCAACCTTACTCGTGGCTACCTACCTGCGTAACATGAGCTTCGAATAACTAACTTGGTTGATTGAAGGTCCCGTGTTATCCCGCTCTCTTCTCCTTTCTCCCTTCGCCGTCGATCGCTAGCCTTAGTCGAACCTGAACTCAACCAATAATCAAATCGTAAGGTTTCTATCCTCCACGGATACAACTTAGCTATTACCCGGTCGATTCATGGGGACATAGCATTTAACTAGAGGTGACTCTATCAGTGTTTATTAGGGGAGACCCAGGAGCACCCGGTCAAAGAGCCACAATCTCCGTGTAGAGGGTCTTTGGCCTCGGAAATCGTGGAACGAAAGGTTTGGGCAATACTATCTTAGGCTTGTCTCAAACACCTTAGGGCATCATGACCTATGGACTTCTACTCTCTCTCGCATCCAACTACCAAAGTACGAAGCTTCTATCGTTCACTCGCTAGCTCGTCGGCCGGGGGCAGAAGGTTGCCCATATTCATATTCTCGTGGTCAAGGGAATACGGGACAGCATCCAGGATTAGAGTTGAGATTCATTTGCGGCTTGATATTCATTCGAGGGTCCCCAAATGCCCAGGAAGATATAGTCTATCGATTCCACATATCGTTAGACAGGCCCCTGATGAGAGTTCTTTACGGAAGCTGGCATTTATCACTGTGATTAGCATAGGCGATATCCATAAGGACCACTGGAGTGTTTAGACAAACACACAATTTATTCCTGTTTCTGTATCTGTCCAGTCCTACATGCACAACGGAGCAAATGTATGATACGGTTCATGTATATCACCAAACGTATTCTACTTGTCCTAGATTTAGCAATGTTAGGACAGGTAGTTTCGGTCCTCCTCACTAACGACTAGAACTAGCTGGCCCATTACCTTAGGCCAGTCGGTTATATCGTATAACATGGGCATGTTAGAATTGCCACGGAACGTTGCTCATTCACCTCCTCTACCATACTGTTAACTATGAAGATCATCGAAGCTCATCATCTACTAGAATGTTATTTATCCTATTCCACAGGCAACAAATCCCATCCAAGGAACATGGAGGGTCATACACAGCCGCGACTCTGTAGTATACAAAGACCTGTCTAAATCTTGATTTCTACCTCACGACGACCTTTACCGGTGCTCCGTATAGTTAGAGGTTCCTGTGCAACGTGACATTCCTCCCATGACCGACCGGAGAGCCGTCTTGCATGAAGAGGCTGTTCGGCAGAGCAGCTTATATTAAGGCACCCTTTACAAACTTGAGCCCCCGCGGATGAGGCACAGATGCACGACATCTCTTGCCTCGCCCGCGGGTTACTCTCCAAAAACCTGCTAGACGTATCGGCTATGTTCCGCAGGACCGCGACGACGGCGGGCATCGTACGACGTTGCACAATTTAGCCGCAAGGTCTCAGCCGGATTAGCGGACAATGTTATAAACCCGGGATCGTTGGTGTCCGGGTCTCCAACTGTTGAGATTTACGAAAGCTTGGGTTTTGCTTAAACTCGTATTCGCTGCTACAACGCCGTTACCTGGTATCTGGTCGAAGGCACAGCTGGGCTGTGCTATAGGGTATCTTCTCTTGCCTAGAAGTTTCACGTTGATATACTGAAGTATGCATAGCAAGGTAGCTATCAAGACGTCACAATAAGGGCAGCTTGGCTATTGTATATCATTTGTATAGCTCCTGGCATTCGTCTACTGTTGATGCTAAGATCCGAGCACCCCTTTGTGGATCTCTATCATGTGTCTACATCATTCTATAGGTAACTCTGTTGTACGGATAGAACACAATTTGGGACTACCTCCCTCATAGGGAAGAAATGTCTTCCCGATTCCCCTTGTATTGGCCACACACCATAAAGTCGTCCGTTAGCCACAACTGGTTCATTGAGGAGCTGCTCCTTTCGTATAGACAAGACAAGTCTAATGTATGGTGAGTTGGTCAGTTCATCTATTCCTGTAGGACACGGTAGCTTTGCTATCTAATCGTTGCCCCTATAATATTCTTTATCGTCGACTATCCCGGTGGGTGTCAGAAAAACTCCATATCTCGTCATACGCTAATGGCATAACCAAAGATTGGAGCGCGATGGTTCTACGACTGCCGTCTTAGGTAATAGTACCTCGCACCGAAGGACTCGAAAGGAAGAAGGATCTACACCCTTGCCCCGCCATTGTCAGAGCCTCCTCGGGCGTCAAGGAGACTTGTACATACAAGATTACCAACATGCATAGCAGATGCGACTCTGAAAGGAAGGACAATACCCAAATGTACATCTTTGACCGGTTGACATGAGAAGAAGCAGTGATGAATGAGCGAGTGATCTAGAAGAAACATGCCGGTTCTTGAAATTCTAGACCAAGCCGAGTGGGCACCAACTGGGACTGCGGCACCACATAACTAGTAAATGTCGACTGACCTTCGTACGGTTCCTCTACACTTATCTCATCATCCACTATATTATTGTCGGAAGAGGGTAGTCATGATTATTAGTCAACTGTGTTTTGACATGATGCCTGTGTATATCATCTGCATAAGCTTTTATAATTGAAATCTCGATGCTACTCTATCACATAGTATTCTAGGTAATTACATGAACTGTCCACTTCCGTCGATGTCTTCTTAGTAAAAGTATCAGCTCTCCATCTCGTGTTGAGCTGTCCCAAACGGGTTGCTAAGCTGATTCTTACAAAACAATCGTTAGCTCGTTCCGAAAATTCCAGAAGCAGAAGAGGATTCCGACCACTCTGATCTACAGGGACCTCGAGCGGCTCAGCCCAGGGATGTATGTATGTCTTCATGTGTTTGTTGAGCATTCATGCTTATTCTATTCTTGGTGAGTTAATTGCACTCCGTAGTGCTTTTACAACTCGTCAATAACTACCTGTTAAAGATGAGTGATTCCTATCGACGCTTTACTATTAATGCGCGAAACTACGCGATTGGGATGTCATCCTAAAACGTTCGATAGTGGCAGGAAATATTATTCATCATCTTATTTGTAACCCCCAGCTAGCTAGTATCAACCTAGTGTCGATGTCTATATTCCTACTCTAATACGAAGGGAGGGAAGTGTGAACAAGGGGCTATACTAACCACGATACGCGGAGGCCTCCTAGTAAAAGATGAATTATCAATAACCTACCTAGTTATTGAACCAAGTTGACATTTACTTGGATGTGAAACAAGACATAATCATAGTAGATTCCCTTGGGAACCCGACTTCGCTCATACCCAGTTCATAATAGTCTTTCTTAAGACTTGTTTATTGATATAACCGGGTTGAAATTTGACAAGCGAGATATCTGTAGACGTCATTGATCGTTTGCGCCGAATATACGCAAGGCTTAGGCTAAAGAGGTGCCGCGAATGCGGCGTAAGTTTACAAGACATTGGCGCCAGCATAGTCGCATCAAAACACGAAGGATTTGTTTTGCTCTCATTGCATTGCTGAATGATGCGTGAGAACTATAGTACTAGGGTTGATCCTGATCCTTAGCCGGTTTGATCCCACGTCCGAAATAGTAAATATTCGAGAACAAAAATTTAATCATAATTATTGATCAGTCTTCGGTCTCTCCACGGTCAATATTTGATCGAAAAAGAAAAGAGAAAAAAAAAAGTGATGGTATTCAGCCACGTCAAATTTCAACTTGTCATGGATGACAACGAATGAATCTGAACCCCACGCGCCAATAATGGCGGCGCCAGAGTACAGGTTTAACATTGATATTATCATATGTTATGTATTATTTTCCCCATACGCATCTGCAAAGCAGCCCTATCCGTCGTCGGTGTCTCGGAGGATTGAAGACCTTTACCGGACCCGAGCTAACTCTTTCTCATGTTTTAATGCTCGCTGGATAAATCTCCGTAAAGTGCATTTCCGTGTAAGCCCGAGATGCAATAGGTTGTCTCGGTTCCAGTCTTTATTTCGCGTAGAGCGATTTGATTGGTCGGTATGGCTCGGTTGCAAGCCTCATCTACCAATTTTCTTGTCAAGTCCGAGCCGTATGAACGAAACTATCGTCGGCCTTGTCGGTGTAAGAATATTCATATTATACATATTCCCTCGTTTTACGAGGCGGCGATTCATTTTTGTTTTGTTTTTGCTAGCACTTGTTATGCGCCTCCTATGTTTGCCACGAAGGATTTGATCTGGATCTATCGAGGTCTGATACAATAGCTCGCACTAACCGACGATTCCGAAATGAAAACGAAAAAAAGTGTGATATCTCAAATAGCCGGAATAGAGCTTGGCTGGCTTTTCAACCTAGGCAGACATCGTGTGCAAAAAGGCTCCGCATAAGAAGTAATGAATCCTTGTGCCAAAATATTAGTGCATAAGTGTTGGGGGGAGAGGCTCTCTCACAAGGGAAATTTGGAAATTTGGAAATTTGCTAATGGCACCCTCGTCGAGCTTGGTCGCCGACCAACTTCTCTTAGTCTTATTCTCTTCTCAGCGGCCGGCTTCGGCAATGTGGGTGCGCTGCTAGCTGGTTCCCCTCAATACCAAGTTGTACTAGGTAGTCCACCCTCGGGTTTTTTGGGGGGTCGCCTCCAGCTCTGAATCTTTATTACATAGAGGTAATAGGCAGTGGTAGATGTAGGTAGGTGGCAGTTATGTGCGTGTATGTATGTAAATACGCTGTTCCAAAAAGCTTGAGGCCGTTGCTAAGACTGTTTTTCTCACTACGCTGTACGCTGTAGACGGGTCCTCTCTCCCCCCTTCACAGTAAGCGTATTGCCAAGGCGAGGCAGAGACTCCCGGATCCTTGATACTACTATGGACTGCCGTGTGGGCGGGCGCTGTTGGATTAGCCCCTGGCTGTCCGCCGGCATCCATTAATCCTCTAGAATTCATGATGTCTTCCTGTTCGTCACACGAGCCTCGCGGCTCTTCCTCGCTGTAATTAGAGAGAAAACAATCATCCATATAACATCAGTCGGAGCGAAACCTTAAAGCATACTGATATTAGGGGTTCACTCTTGGTGATGTCTCGTCGGGTAAGGTATGCAATAATGTGCTATCCCAGAATGGATTCCCGTTATGGTCGAGCTGCAGATGGGAGTGCAAGGGGCGTTGATGCGGCAGACCCGCGCTAAAGACGCCGTCTTGTATATAATAACCAAAATAGGTCATGATCGACGACTATATGCCAGACAAACTGCCGGGGTCTGAGTGGTATTGCTAATGCGACTTTTGGGGAATGCCAGTCGAATGTTTATTTGAAACGTACCCTTGCTCCTTGGCTATGCCCGACTCTTCTCTTACTGGACCATCACATGTCCCGGGGCTGACCAAAGTGGAAGCCAATATCCCCTGCGTAATTTGGAGATAAATCACCTTTCGCAATTTGTCCAGAGTCTACATCATCGAACTTCTAGAAGACGACTAGGATTCTTCCGTGCGGATTCAATGGCTCAAAATGGAAGAGTGTTGTGTGTATGGATGTGGTGGTATCCGTATGGAGAAGAGAGGATGAGAAAAAGAGGAACGAGAAAAGACAAAATAGAACTTGGAACATTTGAAGTGTGCGAGGTGTGCGTATGCAATAAACGATAGTACCTATGCAGTTAGAAATTGGGTATTAAATGGTAGACTCAATAGTACGATGTACATATGAAACAACCTTGGAAGCTACGATGAATCTATCGGTGATACCCAGAAAGCGGGAAAGCGGGCTTGTGGCTTAGGGAAGTGCCGTTGACACATCGCTGATCACCAGCGTCGCGCTTCCTCGGGAATCTAATTGAGCATTTCAATGTTGCCAAGGAACTCAACCGCTACATATCTAAATACCTAGCCAATACAACCACATGGCTGCACTTAATAAACAAATTTCGAGCTTAGTATATTAATTTCGAGCCGTCTTCGTCCATTTTGGGTCTTGACGTCGATATCAGCATGCTATTTCTCGTAAACAGATTAGAGAGATTAAACATATTATTGTACATGCCTAGCATTAATATTATACAGAATACAGCTGATATTAGCCCTAGCCCGCTAGCTACTAGGTAGGTATTAGACCCATAATCAAGGTATCCTGCAAGTGCCATGCAGGTGTGCAGGCGTGCAGGCGTGTATGCATGTATGCTGACAAGTTGCAATAGTTTGCCGTAACGAGACAATAAACCTGACCTAGCCTTATCGTTCGAGGTCCAAAACAGAATAAATGTTATGAAAAGAGATGAATGCCAAGCGGTCAAAGAATTCATAGTATTAAAAATGCAACCTGGTCTGCGGGTATGTGGTGGTCGCGATGCAGGGACTCTTGGACGAACCGAACGTCGAAGTCGAATGTCGAACGTCTGTGAGGTCGTTGCTACGGTGTTCGTTCACTTTCGCCAACCAGGAGCCGTCCTGGGACCTTGCAGATGTCCGAATCAATAATGGGGAAAGAGGTCTTCAAAGTTCACATGATGTGTGTGAAATGTGATGACTCTGATGAGAGATAGCCTCATTCGGGACCTACGTAGTAGCAGTAAAATAACCTTGGAACTGACCCGTTTACCCACGTGCATGTAATTTGATTCCCGCAGCATGGATGTGTTATTCTACGCGGTAAGACCGTGGGCGGACAGGGCAAGGTGGGAGTGTACTATGTAAGATATACACGATAGACACGAGATAGACACGAGCGGATATGTTTTAATATCGGACGCCACTACGTATCTGCGGATGTATGTACTTCGACTACTTTCTTCCCTGCCCTGGCACTGTCGTGATCGAAAATGACGAGCAAGTCATCTCACCATGCATACACTAACAACTCGGTACCTAGATCTTTCGACTCTTGTAGGGATTCGATGATGCTTTCGTGCCGGCCACGTGTTTAGGCAATGAGGGTATCCGTAATTTTGAAGATTTGCTGATGATATCCATGTACGTACAGACTAGTACCGTGATAATATGTACAACCGGACGATCAGGTACAAGTTAACCGGTCCAGACTCTAGAGGCGACGGGCTTGGTGGTTTTTTTTGATAGCGTTTTGACTCGCATGACGCCGCTGGACTGGATATCAAGATATACATAATGAAATATGTGAGGTGGCTTGTCATATCTGATTCAATGTTTCGATTCATTCTTTTAAACCACCGAAGGTTTGCCCGGGGTCGCGCTCTGGCCTTCCGCTAAATTCAAGCTTAAAAAGACCTTGGAACGCTTGGGAACGCCGTTCACCACCTAGGCAAGCCTTGTTTTAGCCTTGAAGAACCCCATCTTAACCATCTTAACGATGATACCAATTCAGGCATATGACGTTGTTTCAATCGTAAAACTGCCGTTTTATAGTCGTGCAACCTGGGTACTAGACAAGTACGCGTTTAATAAGTAATTTAAAGATGGCGTAAACTACTGCTCTATTAATCGATTGAGCATTTCCTTTTCAACCACACAATGGGTGGTAAGGGTATGCACATAACATTACATGTAGGTAGTATGTGCTTAATTCCGAAGAAGAATTTATTGTCGATAACTTGGATCCCCGTGATCTGGACGTGTGGCTGCATACATGCCACAAACTACACTTGTACCCAAGTACCTAAATATTTATCAAGTGTACCTACCCTTGATTTTCTCAAGAACTAAAGAAGACTATTATTTCTGGGCTATTAAGTTTGATCTCAGGGTCCTCTTTGATTTATCTTTTCCATTCAACTTGCTAGGTCCTCAACCCCGGCATGTTATATTAATCCACAGTTACCTTTTATTAGGTTGTTAATATGATTGGCCATAACTCAATTATCCTTCATCCATTGATAATTGCTCGATTGTGTCATTTCCAATTTGTGGAGATACTTAAAAAGCTAGCTTACGTCGTATTTCCCGCTAAGCGCAATCTAACCAATCAACAGTCTTTCGCATTAGACACCTCAAATCCTTCTCCCGAATTTTTAACAACTATGACGACACCCCGGTCATCGCCAAGAGATCCCCGTCCAGAGGTTAGTGTAACGGTATCTATCTTCAACCCGGAGCACAATTCATCGCAGACAAGCGCCAAACTTCAAAATGGTAAAACACCGACCAGTTAGTATTTTCCCTACATCGGGAATTTAATACTATTGATTTTCATGTTCATAATACATACTTGCGCGGCAGAGTTCTTTCGTGGCTTGTCTGTCCCAGTAACCTGGTGTTCGCTCATTAGCAAGGCCAATGAGCTAGGGGATTGACAATGGATGTTCTACAGTTGTCATTCATGCGATCATCCTCTCGTCTATACACTCGTAGATATCGCCATACGTATTGACATATTGACGCATGGATCAAAGCAAATGAAAGTTATGGTCTATTCCAACTGATTTACATATTCGTTTACCATGTATTAGTTGTCGGGTTGGTAGATTGAGACCCAGATAGCCCCCCCCTCTCCCCCTATTAAGGAACGTGTTAGATGCCAAAAGGCAGGGCTATCTTGGGGCGCCGTCGTCATACTTCATACTTGCACAGGTTTTCTCTCGCTTGTCAATCCTAAATGACGACGTCAGTCCTGTGAGCGCTGAGCAATAACCGTCAACTTTCCCCGAGGCAGTACCGCTTAATTAGCTTCATAGACTCGAGGAGCTGGCCCGACTGGCTCGAAGATATCGTCATACATGCAACCCTCGGTTTCATCCCGAGGACATTATTTGAATCTTCTTCACCGTACTTAATAGACGTCGATTATTTCAATGTCATTATCATTCCTCTGGTAAGATAGACTGGGTTCACTCTAGCTGTTTAGGTAAGTGTTCTTATCATTCGTGCCGTAATCACAGTCCATCCAATAATGCCAAGATATCGTCGGCTGAACACGAACACCATATGTACTGCCGCCACAATAATAATTAGTGCCGGACCGAAGGCATGCCTAGCTTTATGTTGGTGTTCTCCAATGCAATAGAAAAAAAGGAAAATAAAATGCAATGATGGAAAAAGGGATTAATTTTTAATGCTGCCATACGAATTTCTTTCTCCAATGCCACAATTTCCTACTTATTCAATCATCCCTTGATACCGGGACAGACAACTCCGACTACTAGGTACGACTACTTTTTTTAGTCAGCAACGTGGGTTCAATGATGTCGTGTCTGGGACACATTGAAAAGCAGGTGCATCGCTCACTTCTGAGGAGAACCACTTTTGTGGAGTATCACAAATATGTGCAATTACTATTCCCACACCACATGACGTAGTTATTTGCCAAGAACTCCAAGCTAGGACACTCTTAGCTTCATCCTTTCCCACCAAAGACACCATAATGGAAAAGGTAGAAAGGGTCAGGCAGTGGAACAGATGGGATAGATGGAAAGCCCGACTGCAAGCATTCCGTACCCTTTTTTTCTACTAGGTAGTAGCGTGGCTACTTGGAAACCCCAACTTCTTTTTTCCAATATTCCCCGACTGGGCGCCAGAAAGGACGAGCTGATTTATCAGATGGGGTGGGTGTTTGTAGCTGCAATAGATTCGCTAGAGCCGGCACTCGAAAAAGAGGATGGGAAAAATAGCCAGAAAAAAAGTAAGTAAAGAACTTGTGATAAAGCACAAAGCGAAAGCCGGTCTTTCAGACCCTGCATAACGGCAACCCCCATCCTCCCATCCTTCCATCCTCCGCATCAGTGGCGTAAGCTAAGAATGAGCCTTATTATGTTATGGATGTGTTATGTGTTATGTGTGTAGTTGTGTAGGTAGTTAGTTACCTGTGTACATACAATACATCCATTAGTATAGAAATCGCCAAGGATGGGTTCTCCAGGATAGTGTCCACCCGTACCGGTACTTATCGAAAGCTAGCTTCAACGGCGCACCCCCGTAGCCTTAGCCTTAGCCTTAGACCCTTGCCGTTACTTTCAGCAATACCCTGTCATGTTCAATGTTCTCATCTCCTTTTTGCGTTAGGTACCGTACCTGCCGTACCTACCCAGTCAGCAAGCACCTCGCACCGCAGTTTCTGTTGTAGTGTACGGCGCTTTCTTATTACATGCCTCCTAGTTAGTTGAATGGCATTTCCCGTCCTATGTACTAAGCAGCCGTACCCGTACCTCTCTACTCTCTCTCATCAACCACTTTTTTTTCCCTTCCACCTCCGCCTCCATTCTACATACGCTGTAGTAGTATTCGATCCCTGTGGTTCAATGTTTTTTTCTGTGTCCCACTCGCCCCAATTTATCACTCTCATATGTGGAGTTAGAGGGGACTCTGATACCCTGGCTACTTTTTTAACAACCCGCGCTGGAATCCCCTTCTCCTTCTTTAGTCGTCTAATGCTGCTAGTTGACGTACTAGCTGGCCACCTGAAATACATCCATAGGCAAGTCGAATAATAAGAGGGACAATTTATGTATGTAAAGCCTGGCCATCCTTCTTTTTGACTGTGCCTCCTCCCGCTTGGACATCTCTCACTTCGTCTACGACGAAATATCGAAATATCTTACATCTCGACGTCGGTTTACATCGACGAGACGGCAACAAAAATAACAACATTATACCCTGTCTCGAACAAAAGAGAGATACCTTACTTACATATAAAGGATCAACAAATCGTGCTGCGAGGTTCAGTTTACCTGGGTTACCTGTAACAAAAATACATAGAGACTTTCGAGTTATATGTACATCTGACCTCCCGGATATCTGGCCGCTGCTGATCTTGTACGCTTCGGTCTTGAAACGAGCCACCGAACTCCACATTCTCATGATCAGTCAAGACCTAAAACGGCTTCTATCAAATTGGACACCATCTTTTCAAATTTCAGCCCTGGTTCGATCTGTTCAATATCCTACCCTACCGTCCTTCTTGTGCACCACCCTACAGTGTGTCCAACCCTGCCCCGACCTGCTTTAGTACGGGACATTGGATTGTCGATCAATCTGTTCACCGTCGTCACTGGACTTACTTGTAGGCTAAGGATACTGGTTCCACCTGTCCCAATTGCTGGAGAGCGTTAAGCTTCATACGATTGGGCTGGGTCTATGAAAAGTACCGGCTGGCCCCAGCGTGTACCTTCGTCCGACTACTCGGGGGTTCCTGGTCGCATACTTCCTTAACTGTCCTGCCAAACACACTTAAGGCTCGCTGATCCCCCTCCCGTAGCTCGTGACGGATCTTCTTCACTGGATCTTGAGAGACAAGTCACCGCCTCGGCAAGGTGACACGAATCTGTCCCCTTCGGGATCCCGCATCTGATCAGCGAACTATTCCAGACTTCCTCTAACTCTTTTTTATTTACAACCGGGGAAAAAATAGGAGTCGGGTCCAAGTGTTGGAAAGCCTTCATACTTCCAACCTCTTATTTCTCTTTTATGATATATTGTGTCGAAGATGACTATGACTCTTGATAATCAATCACGACTCGGGGCCCTCAACTTCGACCACATGTCTTCCTACTCCAACCCTCCTCACTTTACCAACCCGTGGGCCGCGGGCTCGACCAGCCAACATGGTGGTCACGGCATGTATTCGCAAGGGCTCAATGCCAACTTGGGCGGTCTCGACTCAATGGCAAAGCAGCACGCCGCGAGGGCGGGCCCCAATAGCAGTGCCTCCATGGCATCATACGGGAGCATCCCGGTGACGGCATCTTCAGCAGGTAGCAGCACTCTCATGGCGGACCTTTATGGACAGCAGGACTTACTCAATATGCCGCAAGATCTCTTAAACCTAAACCGAATGCAAACCACGTCAGCCGCATACGGAGAACCCGCGTACGCGACGGCGACGGCGGCTTCTCCAGTAAACGCGACGTACTCGGCGTCGCCGAGTTCTTATGACAGCGTGTCCGGGTATGCACCGGCGCCCATGCGCTCAACTTTCGCTCTTGCGCCAGAAGCTGATAATCGAAGGTATTCACAATCGTCAATTTCCTCGCTGCCAATGGTCGATCCCGGCTCAGGCGGCGCGTCCCGCCCACACCGGAATTCATTGGTTGACATGAATCACAGAGGACTTCCAGCCGACGATCGGAGGAGCTTCGCAGATGCTCTTGACGCTGGTCAGGGTATGTTGGCGATGAGTCAAGAGACTCCTAGAGCCATATACCCTCCCGGTAATCGCGGCAGAGGTTCCACTGACTCATACGGTTTCCCGTCGACGCATTCCACGAGCTCATCTATCTCATCAGCAAGTAATTACGGTAGTGGTTATTATGCAGGATCGGTAGACTCATCGGTCAGCGATTACTCGACGGCAGGTTCTGATATCGAATCAGTTACCTCTCGGACGTTACCCCGACCGAATCTAATGACCCAACCCCCTCCGGCTCCTCAATCGATGATGGGACAATTTAGCTCAAAGGTGTCATCTAGTACTCAGAAGAAGCATAAGTGTAAAGTCTGCGACAAGCGATTCACCCGACCAAGCTCACTACAAACGCATATGTACAGTCACACCGGCGAAAAGCGTAAGTGTAGAGCGAGTGACTGTATCCCGATCAGGATCGAAAGCTGATATGAACGAATTATAGCATTCTGTTGTGAAGTTGAGGGGTGTGGGAGACACTTCTCTGTTGTATCAAACTTACGACGACACCGCAAAGTACATAAAAACGATGCCAAGTCCGACGCTGGATCAGAAGATCACCACGATGATCATTCCGACTGAAGGAATCAAAAAATAAAAATCCACGCTTCATGACAGAAAATATGTTCGACTGTACTCAAGGTTACGATTTAGAATTCTTTACGAATGTCCTTGTTATGCGGATACCTTATGTTGAGTCACGTTTGAATTGGTCTCATGGGTTTAGAGGAGACTATCAGCATCTATTTTATCCGGCCTGATGCTATCGAAAACCAAAAAAAAGCAGGTTCCGGACCTGCGTATCCTGTACCAAGACATTATCGAAATTTGTTTGCGCCGCTGGTTGGAGTGATATCCAGGAGAGTTCGAAGCGCAGGTTGCATTGATGAGCTTATAGATTTGGGTGGGCTCATTTTATGGCATTGTTTATTATTGTCTTCTTCGCGTCCATCGCTCGTGGCTGCCAATCGGGTTGGGGTATGGCCACACACATCGACACATCTGGGGGGGTTTTTGGAATTGCTTTTGTTTTACGAGGAGATACCCTCACAGACGGCGTTCAGGTTCATCGGGATCATAGGGGGCGGGGTGAAGATCGCATGCATTCGTTTACGTTGAGAAGCGACAGCTGCCTATGGCGTTTCGCAGAGTTCCCGTGGCGGCAGCTTCTTGGAGCGAGCACAAAAAAAGAGACCAAAAGTGACACGGAAGAGCGAGAGCGAAGAGAAGACAAACTTGTATTATTAGCTAGCTTCGCATATACCCCTGGAAGGCAGAGCATTCATCCTCGACAGCGAGATGCCTTCATTTGGCATCTTCCATCGAGGATACCTACATTCGCTACTGCCTCTGTAATCTAATTGTTGAAATATATATACATATGTTCATCGGATGCTATTTACTCTTGCTCATTTATGGTTATGATCGCACATGATCCGCGTGGTACCAATCTACCCAGTAAGTCTTTATTTTCATCAGGTGAACGCTTATTCGAGATGTGTTACGATCTAGACAGCTACCTGTACCTGACCCTTTTTTCATGCATCGTCCCGACTGTTTAGTGACGGGGCTATCTGATCTCATCCCAGGTTGATCGTCGTTAGAAAAATAGAACTAACGTATCAAGAGCGGAGCCGGCTTCGAACCCAATATTTTCGTCAGATCTATGTATACTAAGCGCCCCTCTTGTCAGGAGTATATGTATACTTAAGTATACCTATAAGTAGTACGATATCTGCCTAACCGGCTAGGCGAGCTGGGGAAACCTTGACTCTATATCCACTGTTGTTTACTCAACTCCTTCAATGATCGGGATGCCCGAATGTGGAAATCTCTTACATAGTCTATGTTAAGGACCCTTTGAATATTAAATCATCTATACCATACCATATGTAAGGACGATCCACTTAGAGTGCTTTGAATATAATAGGGTAGATAGATATTATACAGCAAACGGGCGGGCTCTATCTCCCCGTCTCCCGCAAGCGACTGACATATGTTGGTAAAAAGTCCGCGCCTCCTATTGGAGGATTCCCCTTCCCACTTTATTATCCATCCCATCGGTTACCACCTACATATACCGTACGTACATATATTCATTCATTCATACATATACGCATACATAGGTACCTTATATATTATACTGCTACTTTAATACCGTTCGTTCGCTCTTTCTGCTTTGGTTGCGCTGTCTCGTCAAATACCGGCAAGAGAAAGGGGGGGGGGGGGAAAGGGGGGAGAAAAAAGAACCTGTCATACTGCTACGTAGATATTTCGTGCGTCGTACAGATATTACATACGAGATCACACAAATTCCCTCTGTAATCCTTTTCTTTTTACATCGTATATAAAACCCATCCACACCCATACACGCGTATTCATCATGTATGCAACCCAAAGATTGAACTCCCCCCTTCGGTGAACGGTTATAGGAGGTTCGAAAAGACTTTCGATTTCGCGTTCGCTGTTGGTCCCTTTTCTGGCTTCTCGACATGCCGGTTCCTTCGCTGTCACTCGAGTGAAGAAAAACCGGGAATCGTCCATGTCTGGTACGCATATATCCCGTAAATTCGCAACTCGAACATGCGAAGACCGACAAATAGAAGCCGGTTACTTGGTCGCCTTCTCTTCTCGGTTCCCCGTTTTATCTATCCTGCGAGATATCGTGTCAGAACCTTCTCTCGCTGTTCGCAGCTTTTGCCATCTCATTGGCCGTTTAGGGTATGTAAGTAATCGTGTACAGCCCAGGTAATCTGTAAGGATAATAAGGTACGTACCTGCCTAATACCACAATTGGTATACGCTATAAACCGTATATATATACGTGCTATACCTAGGGCGGTAGTTAGCAACAACCTTGAACCTGTCGCTATTTCCTTAACCCGTACATTTAAACAATAATGCCTGTTTTAGACCCGCCGCCCCTAATCCTTGTCTCCTTCCCTACCTCTCCCCCCATCATCCCGGATCGTCAATCGCTAGCAACCCATTCCCACATTCCACATGCGCATAAACCGTACCTAGCAGCCTAGCAGCCTAGGTACAGTAAACGAACACAAGCAAGCCTGGCAGCGCAGACAGACAGGTGACATGACAGCGGCTCTTCCCCCCCAATCCCTCCTCCCCTCCCTTTCCCAAAAACATGAAACACGCTTAACGCTGCGACGCTACTCTAGTGCGCCGCCCAGCGGACGCCCGTTGCAATGCGGGACCATACCCTATCTAAGTTAATTTTTCTGATTTCTACTTTCGCAACCTCCCTAGCAGCCTAGTTTACCTAGCCCCAGCCTAGCCCCGTACCGAATTCCTTCTTACATACATCCATACCTGACCTAAGGCCGAATATAAAGAAACCGGAATCGTATCTTCAGCCTACCAAAGTAGGTAACCAGTAATCTCGCTCTACCCGCCCTTTTTGAATTGAATCGCTACATAATCTACTAGTCTCGTTGCCGGGTCCCTTCCCCCCCTCCTTCTCCATATCCTAATCTGCCCGTCTGTTCATGTGAGAGAGAGAGAGCAGGGCGGGCGGCGGAATAGCTGCTCGTTTAAAACAACATACATACATAAGAAAACCGGTAAACAAGAATCGTGTCATGATGACTATATCACGCGCCCGGACGGTCCTCGTTGATCCCGTCTTGTCTAGTTCCCCGCGTGCGGCTTTCGAACAGGATCCTCGAAAAAAACCGGGCGGGTAACTCGACTACGCGCATTTACAATTACAATTACATCTAAACCTGTCCATACACGTATATGCCTACCTAAGACATGAGGACCTAGCTAAGACCTTTTGCGCTGGTCCTGCATACCGCGGTTGTTCTCCGCGCGAGGGCGGGAGAGACAATGAGACAGAGTACCTACAATACATTAACCTATATATATAAGGGGCGGGAGAGCCGCGATCCCTTCCTAGATCGGCTCGGCGACCGTTCTTGTTTCTGGCTCCACAAGGAGAATCCGGAGAGGGATAGTGTACCTACCTAATACGGACAGCGCGGCTGACACGAAGGACGACGACGTCAGCAATCTTTGCTGTTTATAGCGTCTTATTCAGCATCCCCATCCTAGATCTATCATCTCCTGAACCACTATTGTAAACGTTGCGAAGAGAGAAAAACCTGTTACCGGGGTTGTGCGTGTGTCTTTCGCCCACTGAAAAGAAATCATAGAAATATAAGGACTTGGGTCATGGCTTACACAGCCCATCAACAGGCGTGCGAGCGAAGATCATTACCCGACTGTCTTTCTCGAGTAGCGGGGAGACCCTGATGGCACATTTCCACGTGAATGGTGCCTGGGTACATACATCGAAAAGAGTGTCGCGAGCTCGGCGTTAATGTGAGATGTGGGCTGGCCTTTTCTTGCTCAAGACCTCAGACCTCAGACCTCCCAAGCGGAGATGTGTGGTACGTGTTATGCGCCTCTGAAAGTTCCTCCAACTCTGACTTACCGGTTACGTGCCTGATGGTCAACCGGGACGGTGGTTCTTCGCACTGCAACGGTTTGACTTCTACATACGAATAGGACGAGAAAGGCCCGATTCTATCGCATCGGACGGGCACTTTTACTAAGTGGTGAAAAAGCGGACTTTAAGTTGAGATGAAAGGCCCGTCGATGCATCGAGGATGGGCCTACTAGACAGACCGGTAATGAGTTCGCCTTTCTTCATGGCGAATGTGAGGGCAGTACGTAACATACCGCTGACGACAGCTGGGACACCTCATCCACACCAATGAAGCGGGTTTGCTTTTTTTTTTTCGCCCCATCCTCCCTGTTGGGGTGCCACTCTGCCGCAGAGAGTTATCACGCCGGAAGGGATAGAACCGGAGCGGAGAGGAAAAGGAGATGAGACGATGGCGAGGGAGGGGACAGACTAAGAGAGAGGGGTGGAAGAAACCAATATGGCACTTGCGAATTGGTATCTGGCATCGCGGCATATTATGCTGTATGGCCGTATAGCTAGTGTCGCTAAGAGAAGACTGGTCTCGTCAAAAGTCGAAAAGCCGGTCCAATGGGCCAAGTTTATCTTAACAACTTAGAAGAAGCCGTTCCGCCCAATGACGACACAGTTGATGATCGAGTACCTTATGACGTCGGTCGAGTACCTCGGTACAGGGGTCGGACACAACTTGGAAGGTCGACCATTTCAATTCGGTGGGTCTGACCAATTAAAAAGGGTCAAAGGAGGAGAAAATAGTTGGCTACGGCAAGGAGAGTATGTGAGAAAAAAAAAAGCATTGGCCAGGTGGACTAGAGATTCAAGGCCAAGACTTCGCATCGTACAGCCACATACAGGACGCTGTGATCTTCAGGGTCCTCTTTGTGCAACAAGGTCCGCGGGGAGACGGGCGCTCGCGGTGGAGGACCGACACGCTCATCCACAATTGATTGGATACGATCCTGTACAAAGTTGTACGTATTCCTGGTTTAGTACAGTTTCTCCAGATTGTTCCCGACCCCGTTGCCAAAGCTTGTTATATAGTTGTATTGCAGTATTGTATCTGTGTGTGTATGTATGTAGTGCGCTGGTAGTGGTGAATGTAGTGGTACCCCAACAATTGTCGAACTGTGATGCAATAATGGTAGATGGCGGTAATACCTAGTAATGGGAATCATGGATTCCCTATCTTTCGCCACTTGGGATGAATCAAAAGGGGACGCCGTGCGCGTGTTGCTGTTTATATACAGCGTTAAACTACTATGCGACGAGAGTGCGGCTTAGACGAATCCGTATCATGCCGCCGGACTGGGATGTCATCTCACAGGGTGCATGAGGGCCCTTGAACAGCGGGATGAGATGAGATGGGTTTCCTTGAAACGTAGGTCATGGATGTTCCGTAACCTTCCCGTCATAACCCGCAACCAGGCTTGAATGGGCGTTTTGTTTTGGATTCTTCTCTCGAAATGTCTACCGCAGGTAAAACATCCCCATCCTATAATAGACGTACCAGTAATAGCCAAGCTATGGCCAAGCATTGCGAGAAAGTGTGGTGTCTGTTGACGCGTCCGGGGCTTTGAAGAACCAGAGAGTATCGTGGTGGCTTGCCGGTGGGAGGGATATTTTACCTTACCTTAGTTGCTTGTCTAGTAGGTCTTGTATTGTATTGTACAATACAAATACAAATACAATATACAATACAACGATACTCAGTGCCGTAGCCAGCGTAGCGTAGTGCACGTATCTTGCATGATTGGCACTCCACAACTATCTTCTTTTCCGTGGTGCCGTCCTCCTTCCCCATGGAGCGTACGTTTCAAGTCCTTCACTGCCGGGCTCGATATATTGGACCGGTTCCATGTTGATAACCGTGGGTTTTCTCTTTTTTGAGATCATTAACCTGGCAGCCTGGTAATATGGAGCGTTGCGCCTTTGCACTTGCGCCAACGCGGGACGGTAGAGAGTTAGTTGCCAACCCCAATATGCTAAGTAGTTCAATGTCCGTGTCCTATCGTCAAGAGTCCACAATGGTCTGGCTGGGAAAAATAAATAATCATAATAATGGATACCGGCATCTCATTTGACGGTGGTCGGATCTATTAACTAGAGGAGTATGTAAAGGGGCTGGGGGGGAGGAGAGAACAAATTGCGAATTTTGGCGCAATTTCGAGGGCGGTCGTTGGGAATTGCCTTTGGGGGCGGTCAAGCGAGCTCAAAAATGACATCATCTTGCAGAAGGGTTTTCTGGCTTAGATCCAGCGCTCATCTATGATTCGTCCGTACCCTAGGAGAGGTCCACACGGACATGGACAGGGAGGTTCCTAGCCTGCCTATATATTGACAGGGATAAATGTGCTAATGGTGTTCCGTACACACCCCTTCCCCATATCAAATCGTGTACTATGTATTGCGAGTACGGTACTTCCTTCTCCACAGCGGAATGTGCATACGATTGTTCAGATGCGGCAGATTTCGGACACTCCAAAGTCGACGTAACTGCCCTTTCCAGCCCTGAATACATCAGTTTACTACGAATGCACGTACGTACCTACACTACGCTCTATATGTCGGTAGTATATAGGTAGTATACATAGTAGTATACGAACATATTAAAATGTCAATCTTTACGATGGATATTGGTCAAATGCCATTTCTGGAGATGGGAATGCGTTTGTTGCGCATTAAACCCTTTTTTCCTTTTCTCTTCACCAGCGCCTCCCTACTTAATAGTATGCGGCTGTGTCTGTTCCCCCTACTGATCTAGATACTCCCTCAATGTTTATCTGCTCTTTCTAATCTATTGTAAAGAGTACATACGTACATTACATATGTACTCACTCAACTTAATCTACGTATGTTCGCAATCTTCCGAGGATGTACCTGTACCTATGATCTAGATGAAGGAAACTGCTGTACAATACATACCTAACATACATGAACGTTTATATAAATATAAATATATAGGTAGGTAGGTATGTACATATGTATATATGTATTTAATAACTTTACTTCCTATCGTGTCTCGTCTCGGAGAATTCCCATATTAGTATTTTATCCCCTATCGTTTTCTCCATATGCGGTATACACCTTTTTCTCCAACCGTCGAACCCAATAATTCCTCTATTAAGTAATATAATATACACTAATCAATCAAATCAATCTCGCTAATTACATCCTTCATCTTGCTAAGTATGTTAGCTTTTGTTAGCTTTGCTGGCCGGTTAACTGTCACCATAAACCATTCCTCCTTCTCCTCTACAACGTGCAATGTGCAACGTGCAACGTGCTACGATTATTACCACCACACGAGAAGAAGAAAGCTAGTTGATAGGATAATGAGATAGGAGTGGACTTTTTGTTACTCCTTTTATAGGTTACCATACAATTCGTTTGGGGTATCTATCTCTCGTTCGTCTTTTTTATGTTTGTTTCTAGCTGGCTATTGGATAACTGGCTCTCAGTTTCAATAATCTCACCGCCTCTTGTTCAACATATGCACGCGCGACGGAGTCGAGTACGCTGGTTCTCTTCCTTTGAGTGGACGGGACGGGGCTTGTCCGTCCCTCGAAGAAACCCGGGGTTCCTTGTCCGTGTGAGCTGACCTGCTCATGCACCTATTGCCGATCCCTACCGCCTGCGTTGCGTGGTCAGAGTCGCATACCGAGAGCAGATTGATTGATATATGTAATGTCTATGTATGTACGCTTATTACCTAGGTATGTACGTATGTATGTACCTATCTCAAGTACCGCTACCCCCGAACTGGATCCTGCCTGCGCAGTACTCGTACATATCTAACGCACGTGAAGGGAGGATCCCGTCCCCAACCCAATGGCAAGTCCGGTACAAGAATGGTACCTTTTGTCCTCGAAATGCGGTACACGCAGCTCGAGGTAACGTAAGAGATATCGTGTCGACCACTTACATACATGCCTACGTACATCATGTAATCATTTCGATACTGTGTTCGCCTCTGCCCGGACTTCTGAACAGCTTGCCAAATAGCAGAGTATCACCCTTTGCCGTCATCGTTCGTTAGCGTACATCCGGATGCCTCGATGAGGAAACGGGGTTGGTCCTGGCCGTCTAACTACTGTACATAGCATGTAGAGTGATGGATCTTGGCGCTTACTAGCCTTGCCTAAGCCTCAGGAGGAAAAGGGGGAATCACGTAATCGTAGATCTAATCCGAGTCCGAGGTAGAGGGCGGAGATGGGACGTGGCTGCGGTACGTCCGTCCCTTTCCTACGCTGAGGTTCGAGGTCGAAACCACCGCTCCGTAGATCTAGACACGTACACGGAATAGACAGAACATACCAGGCCAATGCCGTTCCAGAGCGCTGGATTCGGAACTCGGGAGAGAGGCGTTGAAGGGAAAGGGTTGTTAGGACGGATGACAGCGACCTTCATCGCATTTTCCCCTTTGGAGGACGTGATAAGCCTTGCACTGCCGTTGATCGACAGGGACGTGTCGCGTGGATTTTCGCTTCCCCCTTCCCCTAGGCAATCGAAAATCCTGGGGAAGTTAGGGAAGAGGAAGATCTCGAAGGAAATAAGGCTTGAGATCAACGCCGGCGAAACAACCGCTGAGAATTATGATCATCCCGCGAAAGATTTTCTAGAACCCATCGAACATTCTGACACAAAGGAGCGATCCTCTCACGCCTAAAGGTATGTACCTACCTACAGTACTAATGAACATCGTACGACCACCACTGTGTGTACCGTACCCACGGATCAAAAAACATCAAACGTTCATTCTGATAACACAATGATTGCTTGTCTCGTTTCAAAACGTGTTTTCCAAGTCTAGGTAACCTAAGAGAATTACGACCAGGAAAAACCTTGTTACGGTTCGTCGACCATCTCCCTGGAGAGGAGCCGGAATGGATAACTTCGCATAGTAATCGCATGGACGAGTTGGTAGTACGGCTATGCTGGTGTAACCTTTAAAATCTTCAGATATATAACGACGTATGATGGTCGTGCCACACCCTCGGCGACACTACCTAGAATTTGTTTGTCTAATGCGTCTCCATCTATCCGAAGCGTTCATGGCTTCTCTAGTCACATTATGGAACCGTCTGTGTATATGCTGCTCTGCTAGTAGTGATTTAAACACTTATTACCTACGTAGCTACCTGAGTAATGAGGTCCTGTCCGAGGCCTGGCTTTGGTAGCAGCAGATAGGCTCAGGCAAGGATTTTAAAGTAGGGACAAGGAAGCTTACCCAATCAGAGTCGAAATACTAAACGCGACGCGCGTTCTTGCTGGATCTGTTCTGAAATATACTTCTTTGAAGCTATCTAGCGTTTGGGGGGTGTGATCTATGCTTAGGACATAATGTACCTTCACGTAGCCAAGTTGTATCCCGTTGCAAGCTTAACGCCTTACAAAGAAGTCTCCTCATTAATTCGCCGGTTTTTTTAATCTACCTAAGCATATTATTATACACCACCAGCTCCTGCCCCGAACCAAGTAAGCCAAAGCAATGCTATCACTGTTATTTTTAAAAACTACCCGCAAATCATAGCACGATCGCCAATTCAGGCCTATCGATGCCCTCTTCGTTTAGGTTAGGGTAGTAGGGCACCATGGCATCGGCAGCCTGCACGTACGCGTCGTTGTAGAGTCGCCAGTAAGGCTGCCGAACCTTGCGGGCGGGATGGAACAAGCCTGCCCACACGTAATTTAGCACTAGACCGGGTCCGACGGCCATCCTGATGGCCTCGATTGCTTCCACAATTCGGTCGATGACGTGTGGGCTGGTCTCGAATAAGTTAGGCCACAGGAGGTTGAGAAGATGGACCATGGCATCTTCACACCCTAAACCAACCACCCCTAGAGCGATGTGCTTGACCACAGATGCAGCTGTCTGCCGATGAACCTGGTCACGGTCGATAAGAGCATCCTCTAGAAGTGGTGTAACTGCGTAGACATAATCCTTGGCCATTTCTCCAATGTATTCGAAAAGGAATGATAACGACTTCAGCACACCATTCTGGACGTTGAGTTCGGGGACCCGATACTCGTTCATCAGGGCAGGGAGAACGGTGAAGGGTGCACAAGTTTCGGCGACGATACCGATTGCAACAGCTGTACATACTCGAGACTGTCGCTCTTGTACTCGTAAGTTGTTTAGCAAGGTTGCTAACACGTCTTGAGGTCCGATTGCCTTGGCGATGAAACCGAATGTATTGTTGGCTGCTCTCCGAATGCCCTTCTTGTGTGCCTTGAGCATGTCAAGTAACTCGAAGCAAATTCGCATCCACTCTCTTGCATTTACACTCTCTGGTCCACGATCAGCGATTCGACCGACGAGGTCGATCGTGTTCTCCTGCACCTTTTCATGTCGGTTTCGTAGGATGGGGGTTAGACGTGGTAGTAGATCTTTAATAGGGGGTTGCATCTGGCTGATACCAACAACGGTGACGATACTTCGGAGCGCTGAGAGGATGGAACCTAAAACCTCAGGGTACTCCTCTCCTAGGTATTCGTATAGAACGACACCTAGCTTGCCCATAAGCGCATCTTCGCCGCACTGCTTCATGACTATCGCAATTCTGCTGATAAGGTCCGCGGCTTGCTGACGAATCGTTGCCGATTTATTGTTGAGTCGCCACAAGATAGTTGACACTATTTGGGGTAGGTATGGCTTACAACGCGTACCTAGGGCGTTGACCACGGTACCGAAACCGTTAAGCATGATGATATCTTCGACGCTTTGCTCCTGGAAGGAATGAAGGATACCGTCGATAAGTCGTTCTTCCAACCTCTCTCCAATATCTGCGGCTCCCAGGCCAGCAACCACCTTTTCGACGGTCTCGACGGTCATTTTGCGATATGCCTCGCTCTCGTCCTTCAAGTTACCGACGATTCGCTCCAATATCTCGCTGACGCCGACCTTTTGGCCAATATCAACGGTTGTCTCGACCTGTAGTAATTAAGTTAGCATATTTTGAATAAGACACTGTATTTATGGAAGTCAACATACCACTTGTCGATAGTTTCGCTTATCAAGAGCCATTCGCCGAACCCAGAAACTTTTGAAGAACTCGTCGAGAACATGTTCTTTAAGGTAACCCGCTGTTACGCCCTCGGTACCCGCACACTGTGAAACGACCTTCAACACAACCTTCTTCATCTCCTCATCTGGTGACGAAAATTCTCGGAGGAGAATATCCATCACTTGTGCAGTATAATAGTTGGCGTACTCTTCGTCCATGAGCGGAATGATGTAGCCAACAGCCTTGAGAAAGCCAGCGAGACCCTTACCCCTCTGTTTGCGGGCACCGGTCCATAGAGGGTTTAGGATATCATCGAAGCTTTCAATACCGTAAGGGTTTGACGCTTCAGCAAGAGCGGCAATGGCTAAACTGGTCACTGTTCGCACCTTTGTCTGCTCGTCGTTTAGGTTCGGTCCTATGCAGTCCACCAGTCCCTTCAGGTGAGGCAGCACAGCACATCCCATCAAGATAGGAATCTGTTGTACGATCTTGACACCAGTATGACGAGCTTGCCATGACTTTTTGCTTCGACACACGGCACGTAAGAAAGGTAAGAGTGCAGGGATACCGAGCGCTGAGGCTACCACTGCGAAGGCTCTAGCCGTTGTGTTCCGCACGTACTCATCAACATGATCAATATCTGGCCTCATTGTGCTGATCATCGTGGCAAGACCAGCAGCCTTACTGAGGTTGGATATGATCTCTCGACCCTCAACTCTGGCATAGTAATCCTGGTCAATGAGAAGTGGCTCAATGACGACAAGAATCTTATGAACGTAAGGTCGAACAAGGTCGTCCAACTTCCAGAGTATACGGTCGATTACTTTGACGAGTAAGTGGCGTTCCTGGTCTTCTAATGTCTTCTCCATCAGAAGAGGGAGAATCTGGTTAAACAGGGGGCCAGCACCAAACTGCCTTGCGTTGTCTGTGAGCTGTCGAAGAGCAGTCTTTCGCATAGGAGGTGTGCCATTCTTGATCTTGAGAAGGAGCCTCATAATCTTCCGCTCTTTTAATTCATCGACGCTCAAACTGTTTTCGTCGGAGCCATCCGCTAGTTTGCCGAAATAGGCCATATCTTCTTGCTTGAAGAACTGTAGTTCTCCAACGCCTGGGATTTCCTTTGGCATCTGGCTTCCTCCTAGTCTTGTACTTTCCGGATCCTGCATCATGAAGCCGCCGTAATTCTGTGGTAGCGGCGTAGCTGCAACCCGATGAAGGGGGGGATGTGTAGAATATCCTTGAGGCGGATCGAGGGTCTTGTAGCCCTGCTCCTCACCAGGGAGCAACGCGTCCAACTCTTCGTCACCTAGCAGGCCAGGAGGGCCGGGCATATCTGTTTTGACAGCGCCGGCTCCCATTGAGGATGTGTGCATTGGCGTAACTAGGCCGCTATTGCCGATGGGGGTTGCAGATGGCGCCTGGTCCCATCGTGATCTCTTCTTAGCCCCATCCGCAGCACCAGGAGTAGCAAGTGATGGCGCCTGATCCCATCTAGACCTTTTAGATTTGCCTTCGGCCGGTTCAGACGAAGGCTCATCTACAGCTGTCGATGCAACATCCCACCTCTTCTTGCGCTTACGTCCAGATGCCACAGCGTCAGTAGATCCTGCCTCTGAGTTCTCCTTGTCCCCATCCTTGAGAATTGCTTGATGATCATCGTCGGCTTCTTTTCCTTCCCGCCTTGCCTGTATAGCGCGCTTAACGCGTTCTTCCTCCCTCTCTATCTCTCTCCGCTCCATAATATCTCGGTACGTATCCCCATCCTCGGCGGCACCTCCCTGGCGATTAAAGGCATCGGCTCTTGTTGGTGTAAGAACGCGATCGAAGCGGCGCTTATGGTAGTCGGATTCGCGATCGATGATTCTTGTGCTATTTTCACCTCTGCCAGCGAAAGGATCATCTTCTTCGACCCCATCACCGTGTGCAAATTCGTCAATCTGGGCGCGTGTTGCCGTGTACTGGCCAACTAGACGACGTGAGTTGTCAACATCATCCATCTCTTCATCTTCTCCATCGCCCGCGGGGATGGAGGTGAGGTATCCTGCATATTTGTCACCTCCATCGCGCTCGTAGAGGTCGGTATCGAAAGATTCGGTCAGCTTCGCCTTAGTCGAGCTCTCGGATCTCTGGCTGTTAGGATCGCGACCGCGAGATCCTTTCTTTGCAGCTGCAGCAGCGTTCCGCTCAGCCTGAAGCTTTCTAACGGCCTCGAAGTCAGCGTCCGCCATGTTGGATCATTCAGCCGGATGCTATCTTGACCTTTTTTAGATGGAAGCGGGAAGCGGGAAGAGGAGACGGCTGGTTGGCGATGAACGAGATTTCATGCGCTGACGAGGCTCTAAAGAGATTAGTTGATTCAGAGATAATGGAAGGCGTTTTACTGAAGCTAGAGCCACCTGCAATCTGCACCTAGCCACTAGCGTGTATTTGGATACGTGAATTTGTGGCAAATATGTGGCTGGAATGGATTTTTTTTTTGTCACGTATAATAGCATATCGCGATAATGCATGTACCTATGTAGATACCTTTTAAGCTACATGTCTTTGTTATTGTACCAATATTTACCCAAATACCATACTAGGTACCTATTCACTAGCACTATTACATTACCTGAGACGTTAATTCATGGTTACCTAGTAGACAGGCAAACAAACACAAGACACACGAGAGGCAAATTCAAATGGTAGCAATTTCAAAGTATTCATCATTGAAATGCAAAAAGCTATCTAGCTGAGCAGGTAGTCGTGATTATGCCAGGGTTTGCAGCGTACGGCGGCGAGAGAACATCGCGTATCGTATCGAAACGTATGCAGCACAAGGTCACAAGTAGACTAAACAGCTTAGGAGTCATTCCGTAGATTAACTACCTAACTATCGCCAGACTGGCGTAGATGGCTGTTCAACCTCGAGTTATCTTCAGCCAGTTCCACCTTTTTCAAATATCTGTCAAAGGTATGCCCTGCCTCTTAAACAGTATTTCCACATTGAATATCTTGATCCTTTCTCGTCAAAACTATCATCAACTCGGTGTATTTTCGAGCTGTGACAACAACACTAACTCCATCAGCAGCCGGGGGACGAGGCTGCGAGGCGATCCAGAAATGTACAGGGGACGGCAATGAAGGACTAATAACACAAAGGTTGGTGAAGAAACTAGGCATATAAACATTAAGTTTGTTGGCGTTGTCGTAATTCGTGAAAACGCCAAAGATTAGTAAAATCCTTAGCGGATGTTGGATTCTTATGTCCTACTCGACTCTTTATTTTTTTCGGCTTCGGCAGGTCAGGTTATGGGTTGGGTATCTTTGGTGTAGTATCGATTTCCTGGATCTCAGCGAGGCCAGGTCTAGTTTTGTGACTTTTTTCGGGGCAACACCGGACAAATCAAATGACAGGTTGGTGCAGAATACGCCCTTTATCCAAGACAGATTCGGTTGCCAGGATTTAATATTATTAAGACCGTGTCGACGGTACTTCTCACACAGTCGGGGCTCCAGGTCTACCTTGGTTTAAGGAATGAAGTAGTTCGTGTGGAGGTATTCGTTGTATGCCACTGCCGCGATCGAACATGGATGTCGGGGCGGGGATGTAACCCTCCCGCTTCTTGCGATATCGATCTAATGCAAGGCCGGCTAGTACAATGAGTACCATAATTCCCAAAGAGATAGCCAACCCGATTAGAGCAACAAATACGCGCGGCATACCACTACCTGGACATATAGTTAGTAAAATATCACGTAGAAGTCTATGTAGAAAGCTTACTTGAAGTGGCGAAAAAGTTGTCCTTCTCGACGAAAATTCGAGAGATCGAACCAGTCGTGCCATCAATCTTTGATGTGAGAGCGAAAGGCTGGACTGTAGTGCCGTTGAAGATTGCGCTCGATGCCGTTCCAAAGCCCGGTATTCCGATAGAGCCTGTAAGTAACAAGACCTGGTCGGAAGCAATGAGATCAGATGAGTCATGTGATCCCGTTATCGTGAACATCTGCAAGCTGCTGACTACGCTGGTTTGGTCAAGCGCAACGGCCGCCGTCTTCCAAGATGAACCGTCATATTTCATGAGATATGTCGAGCCGTTAGGCTCGGTACCGGCAACCCAGACTTCATCGCCACCACCATTTGCAGCGGTCAGAGCAATTACAGGGCCTGGAAGATCTGAGGCGCCCGAAAAGGCGGTCCAATGGTTGCCAGATGCATCGTAGGATGCCAGGTACGTTGCGGTATCGTTGATTGTCAAGTTACCACCTGCAAATAGAACGGTTTTGCTCGACCACATCATAGAATTGACATCACCCCCTAGCTCAAAGCCTGGTCGGTTCCACTGGTTAGTCGATGTGCTGAAAAGACAGACGCTGGGACAGGGAAGTGATCCGGCTCTGTCGAAAGACCCGCCGACGTAAACATCCGAACTATCTGGCCTGACATTGACTGAGGAAACAGTGACATTATCGCCAACCAGAGCTGGAGGCTGGTTGTTAAACGACTTTGACGCGAGGTTATATGAGATGAGGCCATTGACATCGGATCCTTGAGCTGTACCGTTTACTCGCCCACCAGCATACAAATTATCGCCTTGAACTGCGAGTGATAGGAAAACAGAGTCCACAGATATTTCCGTGCCTAGGCCTGTCACGGTGTTGGAGTTCGCACCATCAATCAAGGCTAGATTATAGATAGTCGATCCATTAGACGCATTCGCAACGAAGTGGCCGCCAAGAATTGTAATGTTCCTCCCGTCATTTTCGTAGAATGCCCCAGTAACAACACCAGAAATAGTGGCAGTGCTATTGAGCAAACTTGCGCGCTTGGAGAGTCCGCTCGTGGAGCTGTTGGATATGCTTGCTGATGGCTGGATGTTGATAGGGAACTTGCCAAATCCATCAGAGAAAGTTGCAGCGCCATACGCTTGCAAAAGCTGAGAAGATATAGAACCAGCATAGAGGGTCTCATTACCTGACAAAGCCAATGACGTCGAAAGCACACCGCTCACTAGCGGGACTGTCGTATTCAAGTTTTGTAGCCAGTTGCTTTGTGACTTGACCCAAATGGCAAACCCGCTAACCTCAACAGCCGTGTTGCTGCCAAATGCGAGCAGGTGTGAGAAATCTCCAGTCAAAGTGAGGACATCTTCTGCTGTACTGCTGCTCAAATTCAGTGTGGTGGACACAATACTTATCACGGCACCATCCACACCCGCTCCGAGCGAGGTCCATTTATTGGCTGTGCTGTCATAAACAGCAACATTGCCTAATCCTGATGTAGACCCTTGCCGAGTATTGTTGAATCTACCGCCAACGAATAACTGATTTCCGTCCAGATGCATCGTCAAGACTTCCCCGTTCAGGCCACCATCTAGAGCTATAGTCTGGCCGTTGTTGTCGATAGCAACGATGTTTTGTACATTGTCAGATGTGAAGTTGCCACCAACAAATGTCCTATCACTGGTAGCGACTAGTGATGCCACTGCAGAATTATTCGAGAACGAAGAGCCAAGCTTAACGAAAGCAGAGCTGGAGAAATTCGATGTATCGATAGTAGCACTGCTTGGGTCATATTCGAACAATCCATTTAGACCTCCCGTAGAATTGAGCAACTCAAATCCAACCCTCTGAGCAACCATGACGAAGTTGTCACCAGGTATGGATTGTGCTTGGCCAGGAACAGGAGTTAGGGTAATGCTAGGTCGGAAAGAACTCGAGCTCGCATCGACGGATCCAATGTGAAGTTGATCATATTTATCGAACTCGTTGGTTTGGTAGAGAATCCGGGAGGCTAATGTTCGATTGGTACCACTAGCGGATAGTGTCCCTGATACATTGACTTGGCCACGTGTGGAACAGGTGTTGTCTTGGAGACAGCCTGGTGTGTACAATTTGATGATGTATTCTCCTGATTCCCTGATATCGGGGTAGAAAACAACGGAAGCTGCATCTGAAGCAACGGGTTTCGATAACTCAGCCGACAGGTATTGAGAGTTGCTCTGCCCAGAAGTAGTTGTAGACCAGGGACCTGTGGCTGTAGCCGTTGAAGGAGTCGAAGTATTGGCACAGCTTGGTTCGTTGAAATCGTTGATCGCAAAAGCGAAGATATCATCCTGGAATAATTCAACGCCATTTAAGCCGCCACCATTACCGTACCACGCAGATACGTCAATACTGAAAGCGTTCATCCCGATGCGGTTGACGAAGTGGAAGTCCTGGAACTTTACCGAGGGGTCGTCGCTAAGAGGGCACTCACTCGTGCATGTGAGATTCTGTTGAGTTGCTGGGTCAATATAGGTAAAGTTCATGATTCCATTAATTGGCTGCGCAGTAAACCTCCATTTCTTTGTTCCCCGACCATCCTGGTGAGTGTTCCAGAGCCGGAGCTTAGTAGGTTCGAACCCGAAATTGAAAGTGGCCTTCCAGGCTCCCGCAGTGTTGTCTGCTAATAACCAAGTATTGCCAGAGCCATCGACCCCGTCGGTTTTGCAAACAATATTCTTGGGGTCACTGAAGCCTGCTGTTGATGTGCCCGAATCAGCTTGGATAGTCGCAGTAGAAAGATTGATAATCTGGCCATCGGGCGTTCTCGGTGTACTCGTGTTTCCTAGGCCGGTGAAGCTACCACCAAATACGATATGTCCGCTGGGTGCCTTCGTGATCGAGTTCACAGGTCCATTAAAACCAGCAAATGGCAAGCTTGCCCAGTTTTTTGATGCCAGCCATGTTATCGCATTAGTTGAATCGGCTGCCCTGAAACTACCTCCGACATAGACCTTGTCAGCTGCATCATCGCAGAACAAGCTGTTAACTTGACCGGAAAGATTAGCTATAGGTGTGACCTTAGAGGTATTGGGATCAAAGGAAGCAATTCCAGGTGACTGGACTCCGCCTAAACTAGTAAAATTACCACCTAGGATGACCTGTCCTTGAAAGGAGCACATGGTCTGGATGGATGCGTCCGCTTCTAGAAGACTGACGAAGAGGCCATTCGGAAGGCGAGTCAGAAGTTGTTCGGATCCATTCGTGTTGAATGGCTGCTCGGTTTGCCCTTCATATTGGTAGAGGGAAATGCCACTAAAGTCACCAGCGATTCCGACCCTTCCCAGTTGGCGTGTGTCGAGACCCGCGTCTGGTATCGAATTAAAGGTGATGGCATGAGAGAATGATGAAAAGGTGGCGAGGGTGAGAAGCCATGATGACGACATTGAGAAATTGCTACGCGTAGCAAAGCTGTGGCGGGATGATATCTTCATGGTTAATCGAATGCAGTGACCGAGGCAATATAATGCGCCTCGGTCTCGACTACGTTCAACTTTGAAGTACCACTACCGACGATAAATCGTCTTCCGACACGGCGCATACGCTCTATTGTCCGACGGAGTCCATAACCTCGAGGGAATCGGTATATAGCGTGGTTGGTAGCGAATTTAGAAGCCGACAGAAAGCGCAACGGATTGAGCGGTGTCGCGACGTGTTTGTGTGTATACTAACTAGGGCGACAACTCGGATAATGCAAGAAAGTCGAGAATTGCGAAAGATACGTCGGAAACAGAACAGAAAACTAAGCGAATGAATGAATCGAGGTCTCGAAACGATGAAGATACGCAGTATCAATTACAATAGCAATCCCAAGTCGAGGGATTGTTATTATGTTCGTGATAGTTGATAGAGGTCGAGGGTGGGCTGCGTAGTCTTCTAGGGTTCCAAGATTTTGGGAAATTGAACTCAATCGGGTGTGCTAGGCGTGCTAGTTCTGTTAGTGTCGAGTTGGTAGACGGAATGGGCTATGCTAATACCCAAGTGCCTGCCCGAAGTGTGTTGTCACCTCGTGGGGTACCTGTGCTGGTACCTTGTTAGCTCATCTCATTTAACACATCAACCTTCCATTCAAGATTTCCGCCAATTATTGCCCAAATTAGCCCAGGGCGAGGGATAGCTAAATCGAAACATGAGATGAAAAAGAGAGAAGAAACAAATAAAAAACAGGGCTTGTCATGACTCATTTGATCAGTGATATAACAAGAGATATAAGGATGCCTTCTAAATCATAAAATCAAGCAAACAATATTACGTAGTATAACGCGAATATGCTGCACGTATTTTTCGCTCGCTAACGGAAATATCCACAGATGACAATAACGGGAGAAGGGAGGAGCTCACCACTTACGAGGTCTCAAGCGATACCCGCGCACAATGCGACAGTCGGTCGATTGTATCACACCAAGGGTAATTCGTGTTGCCAGGTGTAATACTTGTGTGAACAGAAGTGAGGCTTTCTTACCGATTAAGCTATACAAAATCCCAACCTCCAAATATCTTTCGTTGTGCACGATGATTTCTGTTTGATTAGGTACCTAAGTACCCGGGATATAGGCAATTGATGCTGGTTGATGCTGGCAGGGACTAGCCCAATTCTGCCAAGCAGTGGTGATTTAGGTGGTGAGTATCTGGAGATTCTTTTTTTTCTTTTTCGGAAACGAGCGAAGTGGGAACGTTGAATTAGTTCCCTTTGGTAAAATGAGTGGATGTGGACGATGTGGACGATGGTGACGACACGATCGCACTTGGTGTTCCTTGACTGTCCCAGAACTCGTTGCTGTCAGAGACGTGGCCTGCCGAATAATGCTGTCCTCAGATCAGGGGCTTAGCAACAGGTGGTGATTGGGTAGTTGGGGAGATCGAACGAGCGACTAAAGGTGAAAAGGTGAAAAAGAAAAAAAAGAAAGAGTAAAGGAGAGAATTGCGCAACAAGCAAATGTGTAAATTCTCGGACGCCCTCGAACGCGGTCCTGATGATTTGCCTAGGCAACAGGGAAAGGAGTGACAATGATTTTTGGTGTTTTCTACCTCTGCGTCGAACGGTAAGAAGGGCAACCAGCGTTCCACAGGAAGAATTAGAGCGGAAGAGTAGTAGGAAGGAAAGGATGGAAGGGAGGCTTGGGAGGGTCTGCACCTGCAGTAGCGGCAAATTTCCTCTGATTTTTCTCTGCAGAACTGCACGCTCCATGCGGTTTATTTGATGTAATCATAAGGGGCAGTAGCAAGGGGGTTCCACGTATGTTTAGGGTGCTTGCAGGGGTTCCAGGATCCAAGGTGGTTCCTGAAGGCCAAGACAATTCTTGGAAACCATAAATCTCATCGTCCAACTCTGTGACTGGTCCAGTCTCACCATCAGACTACAAACGGTCCGCAAAGATAGGCCAGACCCGGGAGTTACCCGTTGTTCTACAGGATAATACAGGACGTATTTCTCGTGTTTCTGAAATCTGACATAATTTCGACCAATCCCGTACAACTAAACAACCTTTTCTAATGTGTAAGCCGGATTTTTCGACGTCCACCAAGGTAGCCATTATTCCATGTACCTGGGTATGTATCAGGGCTTCGAGTTATAGCACAAGGAGAGACAAGAGTATGATTTGGAACAATAACAGATTCGACAACACAGTATTAATACATCATGTCTTTTATGAGATCTACAGATCTGTGTATGGTTATGTTTCATTCTACCTATCACTAACATCGCAATGACAAAGGGCGGGGAAAGGAGGAAGCACCGCCTCTAAGAAGGCCCCAGGGCTACGTAATCGTACGGAGGTCTGCCTTCGATGTTAGTTCTCATCGGGCGACCCACGATCAAATATATCCACTTAGTGAATCTACATAAATAAACAATTCCAAAATTTTGGAAAACATGGACACGGATACTACTAATCGCAGGAGGTTCTGGGGAAGAGGAACTGGATGATCCGCACATGGATCGAAGGGTTTAATGGATTTAATTAATCACCAATCACTCATGCTCGCAATACGTTTCCTATTAAGAAACTAAACAAATACACTTTAACTTTATTACTAAACTACTAAACTAACATCGTATCTTTACATACTTACCATAACGGGAAATAATGGGAGTAAATAATAATTAAAAAGTTAAATAATTATTAAAAAACGTTATTAAATTCGAATAATTATTAATTTTTATAATAATTATTAAAAAAATAAAAATTATTATTTATTTTTTATAATTATTAAATTAAAAAAATAAGTAAAAACGAACCGTTAATTAAGTAATTTAAATATTAATAAAATCGATAATATTATTATTTTTTACTTATTATTTTTTAACTTTTTATTTTTTAAAATTTTTAAGTTTTTTTTTTTTTTTTAAAAATTTTTAATATTACCGTTTTTTTTTATTTATTATATAATAAAAAGTTTATTTACTTTTTATTATAATAATTATAATATTTTTTTTAAAAAAAAAACTTAAAATATTTTTTTCTTTTTTTTTATAATATTATTTTATATAAAACTTAAAATTTTTTCACTTTTTTTTCATTTTTTTTTTTTATATTATTAATATTATTAATAATATTTAAAAATTTTTATTAATATATTATATTAAATTATTATTATTATTATTATTATTATTATTATTATATTAAACGTAATAAATTATTAAATTAATATTTATAAATTTATAAACGTAATAAAATATAATAAATAATACGAAAAAAAAAAATATTTTATATATAATTCGAAACTTAATATAAAAAATTTTTTCTTATATTTTTATTTTATTTTAAATTTTTTTCTTATTTAATAATTATTATTTATTTTTTTATATAAATAACTTTATAATTTAATAACTTTACGTTTACCCGCGTGGTTTATTACGCGTTTAATATAATTTTTTATCGTTAAATTTAGTAATAACTTTTTTTTTTATTTTTTATATAATACGATATAACGAGTTAAAAACTTCGTTATTTTAATTTTTTTTTTTATTTATTTTTTTAATTTAATTTTTTTCCCGTTTATTTTACTTAATATAATTATTTTTTTTATTTATTTAAATCTTTTATAAATTTCGAAAAAAAAAACTTTATTATAATGGTAAATTTTTTAATTATTTCGTAACATTAATAATTTAAATATATTTAAAAACTAAAAAACTATATTATTTTATAAATTCATTTTAAAATTAATCGTATACGAAAATTTAATAAAACTTTAAATTTTATTTAAAAAATACGTCGATTTATTTCGCGTTTATTCGAATATAACACGAAATAAATAATAAATATATATAAATTTAAAAATAATTTCGAACGCGTTTTTCGTTTTATTACGAAATTAATTATTAATATTTCGTACGTATATAATTATTCCGTAAAAAAAACTCCGTTAAATTTTTTATAAATTATTTTTAAAAAAATAAAATTTAAATTAAAAATTATTTTTCCTTCGAATATATTTTTTTTATAATTAAATTTACATAACGTAAAAAAGTTAATTTTTACCTTTCGAACATTTTATTTAATAAAATTTAAAATAAATTTAATAAATTTAAATATTTAATAATAATTAATATAACCACGTTTTATTACGAAAACTTATAACTTTTTAAAAATTTTTATCGATTTTTTTTTTTTTAAAAATTTATTATTTTAAAATTTAAAATTTTAAAACTTTAAATTATTAAATTTTATTTTTTCATTAATTTTTTTATTATTATATTTAAATAAATTAAAAATTATTTTTTTACCGCGTATTAAAAAAATAAAATTTAATAATATTTTTTTATCGTTATTATTAATTTACGTGTTTAATATTATACTGATATTAATCTTATAAATTTTATAAACGAAATTATCGTTATCGTTTATTTTTATATTAAATATTAAATTAATATTTAATTTTTAAATTAAAAAAAATATTTTTAAACGTTAAAAATTAAGTTTTTTTAAAATTTTTATTATTTTTATATTTTTAAAATTTTACTTAATAATTTTACTTTCGTAATAAATTTTTACCTTAATTATAAAACTTATTTTTAAAATATCGAATAATATTAAAATTATTATTAATAATGCGAATAACGAAATAATTAATATAAATAATTAAAAAAATTAATAATAAAATTTTTTTTAACTTTTAAAAATAATATTAAATAAAATTATATAATAACGAATTAATAAAATAATAATTATTATAATAACGGTAATAAATATATAAGTAAATAATGAAATAATAAAAAGAATTATTAACGGAATAATTAAAAGTTTAAATTTCTTTAAAATTTTAAATAAATGCGTAATATTAAAAAATTAAATTTCAAATATAAAAAGTTAATTAATTAAAAATATCGGATATTTTTATTTAAATATAAAATTAATTATTATAAAATTTTTTAATATTACGATTATAAAAAAAAACACTTTTTAAAAAAACATAAATTTATTCGTTAAAATAATAAATATTATAAAAATTAATTTAAAACGAATCGAAATAATTCGTGAAAAATTCCCGTAAATACTTTAAAAATCCGCTTAATAATAATAAATAAATATTTTAATAATTAATAAAAAAATTAATTATTTATTTAATAATAATTAAGTTTTTTAAAAATTTTAAAAAAATTATAAAATGTTTATATACGAAATAATATTTAAAATTTAAAACATAAAATATACCCGAAATAATTATTTACGAAATATTAACATTAAAACTTAAATTATAAAACTTTTTCGTATATATAAAGTCGCGAATTTTATAAAATTAAAGTATTAAATAATAATAATTTAAAATATTTTAAACGCCGATTTAAAAATAATTATATTATAATTAATAAAATTTATATTTTTAAGTATTTATTTAAAATATTTAAATAAAAAA